TAGGTGCAATTTTATCCAAGAAGAAGAAGGCGAAAATTTGCATGCACAAATTGGTGCTTTCATTGAGAGAAGAAATCCACACTCATAAAAGACTCTCGCATAAAAAAAAGGTTTTTCTCTATTTTCTATTCTACTTGTATTTTTTCGTACTTTCTTATTATTAGAATTTTTTATTTGCAAAGATTCTTTGATAAAACATAAAAGAATAATACAATGGCTAGAAATTTAGAAAATTCCACGAGTGAAAATTCCAATATCCAAAGAATGAGACCACGGCAATCCACGAGGCTAAATGTGACAATAAGTGGAGCGGCACCACCATCACGAGTTTCCACCACATGAACCACCACGGTGGCTATCACGATAGCCACCCATGGCGAGGTCCATGGTCTCACCACTTCCACGACCTGTGCCGTGCCACCAAAGCAAGCCCAACGCGAGCCCAAGCCTCGCACTCACATGCATCACGCATCGAGCAGCCCACTCTTGCGGCCCAGCATGCTCCCGCCGAGTAGCCACTCTCGTGGCCCAGCCTGCTCCAGCCGAGTAGCCCACTCCCGAGGCCCAGCCTGCTTCCGTGGCCTTCCAATAAGCCTAAATCGGTCAAAGATTAGTTCAACCGTCCCGACTCCAAATTTCCGGACCAACCATCGAGCAGAGGCATTTTCACCATGTTTCTCCGCGGATTTGACATTTCCCAATTCAAATCTCACGCCCAGAGCTTACCACACTTCCACTGCTCAATGAGACATATTCTTTCCAAGCTCTTATAATCCAAATGGCAAACAACACTTGTCTCGACAAGTCATAGAGTTGACGAGCGCTCTTGCACAACAGACAACCTTGGCGAATCAACTCTTGCAACGCACCAGGATCCAACGTGCCCCAGACGAGGTGTCCTGAAGAAGGACAAGGGTAGACGAACCTCTCCACCAGCGTCTCGGCAAGCAGCCACTTGACCAGTCACGAATTGAGCATTCTAACGGAGTACATTCCCGACTTGACCCCCGAGATAGCGTATACTCTTGTCTTAGCGCGTGGAGGAGCGTGCACTCTCACTTAGGCCCACAGACAAACATACACTCACGGTTAGGGCCATATTTCGATAATCAACATGAGCAACATTCTAGGCAAAATGTTTATTCTTGGCAAGGCCCGCAAAGAACATCATCCACCTCACATCGGAGTAGGCATCACAGCTTACGAAGATAAGCAATCACTCAATCCGACTCAAGTTCAACTAACAGCTTGCGAGTTACTCGCTCTTCTGCTAGAAACATACCATATCGACCGCAGCCGCGGCGTAGACGAGCCGAACACATGGAAGAACAGCCTAGACCAGCAAGTCACGACTGAGGGCTCTGCCACCTCATCAAAGGTAAATTCATGAAGAAGTATAAATACTCCTGATCGAGCGATTGCGCGATTTCCCGCGCAACGAAGCTATTGATAAGGCGCTTCGATGAAACATGACCAACATAAGCGAGTCATCTTTCAATGAAAAGATCGAGCAGACGGGACTACCCCACATAGATTGCCGGATATAAAGACTTCTTCTGTTCCAACAAATGCAGCAGCTCAGCCTAATGGCACGCTGGGGGCATACGAGTACCAAAAGTACACACTAGCCTGACTACCAAGAACCGGGGCAGACCTTGTTCTCAACACTCCAGACAATTCCTCTTACTGCGCACAACCTAGCCCAAGTCAGCCTCATCTTTGATTTCACAACCACGTCTGCTTGCACCACGGCTCCCGACAGCCATTGATCTATCACCATGGCTCATAACTGTGCCAATCTTGAACCATGACTCCCAACCATGCCGATCTTGCCATGTGGCTTGTGCCAACCAAGCCTAAAAAAGGCACACGACGAAACACATGTTGATGGCACAATAATTCTGGGAGCAACTTACTGCGCTTACACCCTTACGCGAGGTCCATAAGCAGTTTGAAGTCTAAAGCATATCGCCAAACATGACCTCGTAGGCTAAGGATTATTTCGGTTGCCCCAGCAGTCAAGTTTTCCTCAGCTGCACACATGACAACGACTTCCATGCTCTCAAGTGCGGGAGGGTAAACCAATTCCCCGACACCCATATGGGTCTGCTCTCCATTGCGAGATGATAAACTAATTGTTCTCCAGTGCGAGAGGATAAACTAATTGCTCTCCAGTGCGATAGGGTAAACCAATTTCCCGACACCTGTGTAGGTATGCTCTTCAGTGCGATAGGGTAAACCAATTTCCCAACACATGTATGGGTCTGCTCTCCAGTGCGAAAGGATAAACCAATTGCTCTCCAGTTCGATAAGGTAAACCAATTCTCCGACACCCATATGGGTTTACTCTCCAGTGCGAGATGATAAACTAATTGCTCTCTAGTGCGAGAGGGTAAACTAATTGCTCTCCAGTGCGAGAGGGTAAACTAATTGCTTTCAATTGCGAGAGGGTAAATTAATTCGCCGACACCTATCTGGGTAAGCTCTCCAGTGCGAGAAGGCGACATAGCTTAAAAGATCGAATGCTTGAAGATCAACTAGGCAGCAAATGGTCAGGGGGCAGCAACCACTTTTACACTTAACAATTCACTCATCCGACACTTCATCTTCAGCAGCTCCGATCTTGGCAGCTTTATCCTTGACTACTCTATCTACGACAACTGAGAAATCAAACTTAAGCAGTTTCCTCATTTTTGGCAAGCAACCCAAACCGTTGCCTATGCCACGCCACTTCATTGGCCCATGCCGAGCCAATCCTTGGCTTCAATCAAGTCGAGTAGCATAAACAATGGCCCATGCCAAGCTAACTCCTGGCCCCTGCCTGCCGACATGCCACACCACCTCGACGGCTGCCCTGTGGCAGCGCCTCCCAAGAAGAAGACAAGGAGAATTAAGTTTTTCTTACATCGGTACGGCGCGGAGAAGACGAAGTAAACAACGAAAGACGATCTTTTGCATGGGCAAGTGTAGAAGATTGTTAAGGAAGGGGGAACAAACATTTTCTAAGCTTTATCTCTCTTGTAGAGTAGAATAAATCGCTCTCCAAAGTTGATTTAACAACCCACTTAAGGTGGACTTAAATAGGCTTTGAAAGAAATTTATTTCCCTTTCCTAGAATGATTTAATTTCATATTAAAGAGGGAATCTACATCAAAATAGGAAGCAGTCATAAGTTTCCTAGAGCAAGAAGATCTCTACACCTGCTGCCATTTCTTATGAGCAGCCCAACAGGTGTGGGGGCATTTGTGGAGCCAAAAATAATCACAAGGCGACACGTGGATTTTTGGTGAAAATGACAAAGTTACCCCTGAGACACACCGATTGTCCTACGCGCGAGCAATGGACAATTATTCTTTAATCAAGCCAATAGTGTCCAAAAAAGGTAACAAATTCCAAATTATCTCATCCATCCTCATCTTAGATAATTACTTCATAACCTACAAATTATTCCATATAAATGGAGATTAATTAGCTAATTAATGGATTAATTCCTAATTAATCCATTAATCACCAATTAAATCACCCATTTTCACACAAAAAACCTCTAAGGGCCGGCCACCTCCATTCCCTATATATATGACCCTATTTTTTTCTAAAAAGGAGGTCCACACTCTTGCAAAACTCCTAAAAACTTTCCAAATAATTTTCTCTCTAAATTCTAACTTTGGCATTGAAGGTTCTTCGGCCAAAGCCCCCCATTCATCGTGGGCGCGCGTAAGGCTCTTGGCCTTAACCTAAGGTGTTAATTGTTTTGTAGGTGCAATTTTGTCCAAGAAAAAGAATGCGGAAGTTTGCATCCACAACCATCTCAAAGCTACGTGTTGGTCACTGACAAGAACAAAAGTCTATGAAGGGACATAAATATTGTCAGACCTAGCGCTTGCATAAAGTGCTTTTGAACCACTCTCTAACGAGCGATGCACTCGTGTAAGAGCTTAGGACTTTTGTGGCTAACTCAGGGCTTATATAAATGGGCTAAATACCCTTATAAGCTGTCGAGGGAAAAATAGTGCTCTTATAATCCACATCAAATATATTAGATCACTTAACCACCTAAATCCTTTCAAAATATAATTTTACATCATCATACTGGTTTTTGTTCATTCCCTAGTTTGAGCGTTAACAGAGCTTCTATGTCAATCATAACTACTAAAACAATCGAGTACCAGCAAAAGATTCCAAATCTAATACACTTGTAATTTGTGTTTTAATGCACATAAAAGTAATTATTTGGAGTCTTAAAAACCAATATCATGATTAGCCAAATATATCGACTTATTTATGTTATAATGTTTTATTTTCTTGGATTTTATATTTGTAGTTTGCTAATAATTGAAGTTTATTTGGAAGTCAATCTTATCCAGTTGCCCAGCACCTGTATCATGCACGATCCAATATCCATGCTCAAGTCCAACCCCCACTTTATAATACAAGCAAGGATGTAGTCCCACGCAACTCCAAGCCCTTTCATACAACCCCATCAAAAACATTTGTTTGATAAGTGCAAAAATGATTTGTTGCTCACGTCGTTAAGAACATTTACAAATATAGTCGTGATTCTAAATTAGATTTTACGGTCGCCAAGCGTTGACCAACCAAAAATAGATAAAAACATTGAGAATTCTCTTTATGGATCATAAGCTTCATTGTGGACCATTAATAAAATGACAAGTGCTAAAACAACCAATTTTAGACTCGTTTTTACACCAATCGGGTCCAACTCGAACCGTTTTGAAAATCAAAAGTAAGAACCAGATGATTTTTCGCTAGGCGGAGTAGTGGGGTCTTAGATAACAATCCCAAAACTCTAAAATGCCCTTGGTTCTGATCTCGTGTCATTCCTTGCAAAGGAGGGCAGTGCCCACCGACGCAGCCGATGCATTTGGACAGAATTTGGCTGCTGAAAAAATCAGCCGCAATTCTCGCTCCTCACCAATAACAGATGGACATGTTTTTAATTTGTATTAAAAATTTAATTATTTGAACACGTATTCATCGTTATTGATGAGGAACAGAAGCTGCGGCTGATTTCTCGGCAGCCAAGCTTTGTTCGGTGCATTTAAGCAGCTCACCCGCCTTTTAGAGAGAGAAAAGATCCGTTAGCGACTCCACAGTAAAATGGAAAGCATTTTTCTTGCCATTTTCGGGAAACAAATCCGGTGGGCCATCCCGTACTGTATCAGTGCCTTCTGATTTTCCATTTTCTTTTTTCTTTTAAAATATTTTACCCCTTTATTTATATATTTAATTTTGTGCAGCAAGTTTTCCATTCTATATATATATAAACACATTTTGGGAGGTAAAACAAGGAAGCTCCGCGGCAGAGTTTGCAGAGAGAAATAACGGGTAAGCTTCTCCAGGCACTGTTTGGTTGCTGAGAAAATTGAAGAAAACAAAAGAAAATTCCGAGTGTTTGTTTTTTTTTTATGTTTTTCTCGTATGTTTTTCTTCTTGTGTTGTTAGAAAACTAAACGTTTGAGTTTGAGCTGATTAAAATAGTTTGTATATCTGTTGTTTTTGAGATTTTTCTTCCTATATATGGTCAATGCTTAATGTTTGTGACATGTTTATGTGATTTTTGTATATGTAAAATTAAATTATGCGTCATATTTGTGTGTTCATATGTTTGTGATTTTATATGTAAATGTTTTTGTGAATGTTTAATGCTAGTTCAGCTGCAGTTTGTTATAATTTTTTTCTTAATGTTGTTCCATTTAATTAGCTAACATAAAACTTGACGCAAAACTCAGCAGTGACGTTCTAGGATTCATACGGCCGACCTCAGTTAGTGGGATAAGACTTTTTTGTTGTTGTTGTTCCATTTAATTGTTGTTTATTTGACTAATTTCGAGTATTTTTTGTGCATTTTCTTCGACTATTTGTGCCTCATACTCTCTCATGGTGATGCATTTGTAGTAATTTTTTGTATACATATGTAAGATTGCTTCCTTCTGTGTAAAGTATTCATTTTTTTTAAGTCTTTCATTAACCCCTTTTTTTGTAAATGGAAACTGAATTGAACTTCCTAGTTGATATGTGCAAATTGTTCTTCCTTAACTGAGTTTGTGTATTAACCATCTGGCTGTTATTTCACCACAGCGTTCGAGTATTGATTCCTTAGGTAGCACCGGTTTTGTTACTTGCAACTGAATGATTTATAAGAGACAAAGAGAGTAAGTTGTTGGGTCTCCCTTTGCTTAGAATGTATCTATTGAATCAAGTAGCGTCGAATGTGATACGCGTTCAGTAATTCACTTACTATTTCAAACTAATTTTGGTTCAGTTTCTGAGAAGCATCACTTCATTCCGGCATGGGGTTGGAGGAAAGAGTTGACAGACATAACAACAAGCAAGGCAAAGTTAATCAGACATCAACTATTTGCAAGCATGCTTTTTCTGACCTGACGCATATTACTCCGTTGGTATTCGTATACCTCTTGAAAGAGTGCTATTTCCATGGTAGGAGTATTTTGCTCTCGATCACTAATTTCACCGTCTTTAAGCATGATTATGTTGTGACGAGGAACTTGATCCTAGCCTGTTGATGTGCCTTTCATGTTAGTGGTGTACCACATTGTGGTCAATGACTCAGTCACTAATTTTTCCTCAAATTAATCCTTCAAGTAGTATATTAAACCGTTCTTCAAAATCCTGCTGCGTATTTTCTGTCACCTAACCGTTTAACAAAGCTTATGCCCCAAGTCATTTCCATACACGGGCAAGATAGAACCTGTCCTAGTGTTGATAGAACCAACTGTTCACTCTTACGATCTAATATTTTGAAAGGCACTCGACCCTCATGAGTGATGAAATACTTCTGTCCTGTGTTTAGATTACCTTTAGAGATCCAGGATGAATTTTTAACATATGCTGCAGTCCAATCCCACAGAAGTTTACTTTGTACTCTATGCTACATTTTTTCGGTTGCAAATTGAACGGAGTTTGGGTAAAAGATCTTATTTTCTCAGCTTTTCTGCATGTACTTTGGAAGTAATGTTTCTTTTCTGCTTGTTTGTTTCCAATTGAAACATGTAATAGGCACATGTAAGGCAACTAAGAAGTTCCGAGCTCTTCAAGACCAGGTTTATCTAGTACTACGCAATGATCCCCAACCTGGACCAGCTACTTTTGTTATTCAGTGCCTCTATGTTTTGCCTATATTTGATTTATACTGTGAAGGGTTCAGTCATTTGATTATATCTGGTCTTCTCCATTTCCTAAAAAAGGAAACATGCTCGGGGGACTCTATGGAAGCAAAAGACCTCGCTGCCCAGTTATTTCTCGATATTGTTGGGGGCTCTGTCAACCATGAGGGGAGGATAATTGAGAAGATACTTGAAGTTTATGGTGTTCAGTTGGTAAACATTGATAAAGTAATGTGCCTGAATGCAAAGAATAATTGCAGATTTGACAATGCAAAAGCGTTTGTTGAGCAATATATATTTGGACTGATAGAGTCTCAATCATATATGACCGCGGTTACTTTATTAGAGCACTTCTCTATCCGCCAGTCTGGCCAATCGTTTCTCCTTCGTATGATAGAAAGCAGTCAATTGAAAGCAGCAGAAAAGTGGGCAACATTCATGGGAAAGCCAATGTTGTGTATTCTTATCCGGGAGTACTTCGGCAGAAACATGCTAAAAAATGCTTATGACATTATACAAAAAAACAATCTCCGACATGAATTTCCTGATGTTTATCATAAGTACAAAGAGAGGTAATTTTTTATATTCATATTTCTGCGTGGTATCAAATTAATTTCTTTTTTCCTTTTCTTTTTCCTTCAATGAATTCTATTTGTTAGTCTTGAATACTTATTTTCTTAAAATAAGAAGAGTTAATCATAAACTTTCAGCACTTTAAAGAAACTAGCAGAAAAAGGTAGCTGGGAAGTTGCAGAAGCAAGGACAAACAGTAATAGGCAACTTCTTGAATATTTGGTATGTAGCTTTTGGAATAGATCATATTTCCGAAATCCATATACGTATGCTTTCATGTGTGAATGTATGCTTGGTTGCATTCTTAGCTTTACGATTATAGTGATACGTGACTCTACTTTTTCTTTATTTCGAAGGTTTACTTAGCAATGGAAGCTGGTTACTCAGAGAAGGTTGATGAGCTATGTGATCGATACTCGCTTGAAGGTTTCTTGAATGGAAAAGGTAGAACTAATGTTACTTAAACCGTCGTGTCATCATGCTTGCATTTATCCATATGGAACTATTTTTCTGGAGTTAGTGCAGTGAAGCTGTCAATCTTGGCAACCCTTCTTTAGCACAACTAGCAGTTTTGGTTTTTCTAGTAATTAAGGACAACGTATGAAGATCGCAATTCAAAGTTATAGATTTTATATAATTTTGTTTTATCTTTTATATAGTACCCAAGGCAAGTCTTCTCGAAAATCGCTATTTGCATCTCAATCAGTTGGTTATAGAGGGTGTTGTTTGGGTTGATGAAGCTGATGCCTTGCATAATGCTACCTCTCACTTTGAGGGATGCAAAGTTGTGGGTCTTGATTGCGAATGGAAACCGAACTACGTAAAAGGCAGCAAACCGAGCAAGGTAATTAGGTCATATTGATTTTCATTCTTTGCTAGACTTCAATTTTCTATTTTTACCTTTTGGCTTCTCATATTTCCAAATACTTGTTCGTAAAAATAATCTCATAGTCCACATGCTTTGTTTTGTTCAAGTGTTTTCTCCACGTTTCAGGTTTCCATCATGCAAATTGCTTCTGAAAAAAAAGTTTTCGTCGTGGACTTGATCAAGTTATTCGCTGACGCTCCTGATGTCCTGGATGACTGCTTAACTCGCATTCTGCAATCTCCTAGGATTCTGAAACTCGGTATGAGAAATTGTAATACAATAGGTGAATTAGAGCTTTCTTTACTATACGAAATAAACTGGAAATTAAGCATGGCTGTGAATTATGCTCCTTGTAGGCTATAATTTTCAGTGTGATATGAAGCAGTTGGCTCATTCGTACGGAGAGTTAGAGTGTTTTAAACACTACGAAATGTTACTGGACGTCCAGAATGTTTTCAAAGAACCTAGCGGCGGTCTCTCTGGGCTTGCAAAGGTAACAGAAGCACGAAATTGAACATACCACATTCTTTTCTTTGTCTCTGTTGATCTATCTTTTTGCATTCTAATGCTCATTACGTGCAATTTACTTTGCGCGTACTGCATCAGAAAATACTGGGAGTAGGTTTGAACAAGACAAGAAGGAATAGCAATTGGGAGCAACGACCTTTGACGCCCAATCAGGTAGTTTTTGTACATTTTGAACTTATAACTCCAATGAGTTATAAAATTGCTTTCGGAGCACAGTTAAGGTCCTCCTTCCATTGTTGAGTGAAACTAGAAGTTAACTATGCCTAAAGAAATCCGACCCTGAAAAGTGTCGTATGGTAATTTTGAGTCAGTAAATTACTCAGTCGTCGTTGAAGTTTTAGGATCTGACACGATTTATTGGTTGAGCCACACATCCAGTTGTTTAGTTCAAATAAACTAGTGCCATATTCTTGTGCAGCTGGAGTATGCAGCTCTTGATGCAGCTGTGCTGATTCACATATTTCGCCACGTTCGCAATCATTCCCAGACTGCCGAGGGAGGAAAACTCGAGTGGAAATCCTGCATCGTAAGTGCAGATGCAAAAACTTATCCGATTGATTGTACTCATGCATGAACATTTCTCCTTTAAACCATCTATATGTTGTATTAATGTACAGGTTTCCCACATGGATAACAAGAAGGCGAAGAAGGGGAGTCGAAAGGGTTCATCAGAAGCTGAGACAATGTAAGAACAGCAACTTAGTTAGCCCCGTCGCGTTTTCCCTGTCGTTGGATTAGGTTGTAATCACCTGTAAATTTATCCATTTGGTCAAATGAGATGGTGTTTAATCATAGATGATGGTCTAAATGTTTTCAAAATTTAATCTCTTCTACTGTGTAATATGCTAAGGGACTCATTTGCTTTGCCTTCGACCGGAAAATTCAAAATTGTTAGGCCAAATATGGTTCCTTGGGTCCATCTTCTGTGCAATTGTGCACGACTATATTATTTTCGTGCTGCATTTTTGTCACTCTGCACGCTCTTGTTTAGTTACGTCCTTTTATTTTTATTTTTTTAATTTATTCAATTCAAAAGTTAGAGATAAACATAGATGTGTAAGTGAGAAAAGAGGTGCCCAAAAAATCACTTTCCTTGTGCACATCCTCCCAACAATAAGAAATTCTTGAGTTCGGCAAGTGGACCAGGTCATCCATTTTCACATAGCTGAGACCTTCCAAGTATTTGGGTCTCCCTCGCTTATATGATGATCTCATCTCGTAGTGCGGAGAAGAATTTGGATGGAATGTGTATACTACTATAGTGACGTTTTACTCCAACGACATAATATTATGTGGAATCAAATTAATATGTGACATTATATTACTAGACTGAGACACTACCGTAGCGGTGTACCCATCCATCTAAGTTTCTCTCCTCATTGTATGCGGAACCGCAGGGGTGACGTGGTCTTCTCGCTGGACCAAAGAATTTCTCATAAACAACCCTAAACAAAGCAACGATTTTTCGACCGATTGGGATTTGAAATGTGAAGGAAGTGGGGTGTGTAAACTATTTGTATCACTAATCTTGTTTAATATAACAAATCAATATTACTCACCAGGGGCAGGACAGTAATAACGTTCAACCATCTAAATTTACTTAGGTTGGCCAACAAAAATCCAACCGGAAGTTCAGCCATCTTAACCACCCTTGAATATTTAAGAAGGCAAAAATAAAATCCTAATAATGCACATAATTAACCGGTTGTCTCGTAGTTTCTGAGCTATCTCCCTCTCCCTCTCCCTCTCTCTCTCGAGAAAAGATTCAAAGAGAAATCTTTTCAGAGAGGGAGAGAGAGATGATGGAGGAGATTCGATACCGCTCGTATGTAACTGCTGATTACCGGAACAACCTAGAGACGGTGAACGTGAGGAGGTTAAGCGAAAACCAAACAATGTACGCGGGGAGGTCACATTTTCATCCGTCATGGGATCCGAATCCCCCCATGAAAATACGACAATGCAGCGATCTTCAAGTGCGGGTCGGGGGGAAGAAGGCGAGGAAAGAGAGATCGTCGTCGACGAAGTCGTTGAAATTGTGGTGGAACGATCCGGAGATTAAGAGAAGAGGGCGAGTGGCTAGGTATAAGTTGTATGATGCCGAGGGGAAGGTCAAGAGGTCTTTGAAGAAAGGATACCGTTGGTTCAAGAAGAAATGTCTCGAGATTGTACGTACCATTTGAAACACTTTGATCGGTTTGAAGACATTGAAAGCTCAAATGTTTAAGTTTTTCATTCAATTCGTGTATGGATGGTGTACGTACGTTTGTACGTACATACGGCGTCTATTCTACGTATGTACAAGTTGTTCATGATTGCAAATTTGCATGGATGCAATGGAAAAGTTGTACCCCTTTGAGATTCAAGCTTCTTACCTAATTTATGACAAACAAAAAAACCCTTTAATTTATTTAAAATTTGTAATATATTGTTGAATTACTTATGTGTTGTATTTTATTGATTTTCGTACCGCATTAGCTTTTATACATTTATTTTTTCAAAGTGATTTTCGCACACAATTTTACTTCCTATGCAGTATGCAAGCTTAGACTCATGCTTACATATGACTTCTGGATGACATAAAATAGAAAAATCAAGGGATAATTTTAAATCGAGTGTGCATAAAAAAATAAAATGATTGAGTAGAAAGAATCATTTTCACTGTTCTATAGAATTTGGATTGAAGTAGTGAAAGAAAAATTAACAAACATAAATAAAAGGATTTGACTACAATACTTACAATTATTATTTCCTTGGTTAGATGTTGGTTGTATTAAATATATACTAACATTTGCCTACACACTTTGTGTGTATGAACATATTTTTTAGAAAATGAGAAGGAGAGATGGAGATAGAGAGAATGTGCGGGAAGTGGAAGGTTTTTGTTTTTGGTTTTTTATTTTATTTTTTAATATTGGAGATATTTTAACATCACCTGTAGGTGAGTTTCAATTAAAAAAAACAATAAAATTTGGACCTGTAAAATTAAATTATTGCCCATCATTTTTTTTTTGTGTGATAGAAGACTAAATAATATTTTCACCCTCTTTTGATTGATACAGATGACATACCCCGCCTCGAATGAGGGCATGCTGGCCGTCACGTGAGTGTGACGTAACCATTTACACAGTTCGGAAGCTTTAAAAATACAATTACTAAGATGAAACACCCGAGGGTGAGTCCTACTTTTGTGAATTCTATCAGAACACCGTTGGATTCCTCGTGGCCACCAAAGCTCTGCTATTTAGAACCTGGAGGGGCGCAAAACAAAGTTGAGTGGGTCAGTAAAACAAAGTTTTTCGAAAACATTTCATTTAAAACATTTCTAACCCCTCACTATAAAACCTGTATACTTTCCCATAAAATAACATAATAGCATATACCTTCAAATATCTCAAATCATCAATCTTTATCAAAACCAGAAAGTATGCCATGCATGCATATTATGAGATTTATGAATTGATAATGATACATATATATATATATATATATATATATGTGTGTGTGTGTGTGTGTGTGTGTGTGTGTGTGTGTGAATTGGTGCTGTGGACGCACATGTGAGTATCATGTGAGTTTTATGTTATTCATGTGAATCATTGATGATGTGAATTGTGTTGAGAGCTCATAACCTGCACCCCTGGTGTTAGTGCTTATATTATTCACCCGCACCGCACGCTCACCTTGGATCCAAGTAGGTGCATGTCGTACAGACCATGAGAGGGTTCCGACATGCTAGTCGTACAGACCACTAGAGGTGATTCCGACTGGTAGGTGACCTTAGATTATGTGCACAGATGATTGATGAGAGAAGCACTAGAGCTTATTATTACACCATTCTTGTCGTACAGACTACTTCATGTAGTTCCGACTTATGTGCAGAGTAGCGCCGTACAGGTCACCGTGGTGACTCCGGTTGGATTGGATATTGAGCTATAGAATTAACCGTACATGACCAACTGCAGGGTCTCTGGTTGATTCCTTATGTCACCTGTTATATTGATGCATCCATATTCTGTTTTTGACTGTTTTGTTTTTGAGAACTCACGAGCAACTTCCCAGTGGGTCACCCATTATGGGAGTGCTTTGGCCTCCTTATCGCTTAACTTCGGAGTTCCTATAGAACTCGAAGCTAGTGAGCTCTCAAAAGGCCTCGTGCTAGGTAGGGATGGGAATAGTAAGCCCAAAGTGGACAATATCGTGCTACGGTGGTAGAACAGGCCCGTGAAGTGATCCGCCCCGAACCGGGATGTGACACAGAGGGTTTCATTAATTAATAAAGATATTCACATGAATTATTATGACCGTCTGATCATGATTATATTAATTACATGAATTATTCAAAATGAGAAAAAAGTTTGTACAAAAATCACTAGGGCTTACAAAATTTTATAAAAAAAAGGCCAAATCGGATAAATGATCTCTATGGTCATAAGGTATTCGGAAGATAGCCTATGTACTAAAAAAATTCGGATATATACCCCTGTGGTGTACTCCGTTAACAAATTTACTCCAAAAGTGATTTTTCCGTTAACTATCTGTTAATACATGGGTAATATTGTACTTTGACGTGTGCATCTTCTTATTCCTCGTCTTTATACTATCCAATGTATAAGAACAAGGTCTGTAATTTGTACTTTCACAACACCCGCAAAACGCTTGATCCCCCATAAATCCAAGACTTGACTTTGTCTATTAGATCTAGTAGTGAACGATCAGGTATTCCCATCGAATGGCAACAAACCAACAAAGAACAAGGAAGCCGCATCTCTTCCTCCTCCTCCTTCTTCTCCTCAAAGCTAAATTCTTTTTATTCTTCTTAATTTCAGTATAATTAACAAATAAAAATAAAATCCCCCACAATAAAAATGGTGGGTGAATTGAAATAAAAGGTATTTATTTTCTTTCTTTTTATATGATTTTGGTTTCCCTTGTCTCTTGTTTCCTCTTTTTGCAAAAATTTGGAACGAAAACAGAAGGCAAATCCTCCTCCTCATCTTCTTCCTCCAAGAATCACACAAAACAATATCACAGGAGGAAATCAAACGGCACAAGATGCACAAAATCTGACAATATTTACAGCCAAAATAATATCACTAACGAAAGTGCTTAAAAATTAAGCAGTAGCAACAATAGCAACAACTCGAAAAAACTTAAACAGTAAAGAAACCCTAACCGATTCCAGAGTCTTCAAGAATGCATCCGGTGATCGATTGGAGCATATCCTGGCGATTCAATCAGAGTAGCTGCAAGTCCATGAGTCCAAGTAGATTGAAAAACCATGAGAAATCTAAGAGATATGGAAGCCAACGACAACATTAAACGAGATGAAGAGGAATATGATCGGCCACGCATAACGAAGCCAAGCAAATAGCAGATGAAAAAAACAAGGAAGTAAAAACAGGACGAGGAAGAGGATTGAAGAAATTAAAGGCTGGGAAAGACTGAGTTATCAAAAGGAGGAAGTGAATGAGGAGTACAATGGTTCCCTTTCAGTCGAATTGATCTTTTTCTCAAGAAATGCATTTTCTTGTATCTCACTTCTATCTTCTAATCCACACTTCATGCGCCACCGCCATTCTTTTATTTTTTGCCGCTTTTCAAATTCATGTCAAAGTTGACAAATTGTTACCCATGTATTAACAGATTATAGTTAAGTACCCAAAAAAAGATCCTTCTTAACCTAAATTTGCTAACGAAGTACACACATGAGTTTTAAATCCGAGTTTTTTTTGTGCATGAGAGAGGTTATCTTCTGAACAACTTATGACTACATGGATCATTTATCTGATTTGGCCTAAAAAAAATTACCCACTATGCTTTTAATTGGGCCTTTTGAAGGCCCATAACCATGTGCACAAGCCCCGTGATTCCACATGCGAACACCCAACTAAAGTAAAAGAACACCCGTTTCCTCTTTCCCGCCGTACTGTTTATGGCACCGCCGTGGTTTATTAATTCAAAGCAAATATAAGCGCGGGAGATAGCGCGAACCTTCAATTCATATTCAAACCAAGAGAATTATATCAAAAGAGGAAGAAGATAATGGACTGGTCCCGATCTGGAAGTGGAGCCATTCGATTGCTGAGCTGATAGCTACTTCGATTCCGGGTTCGTGAAGATCGAGCGAACTATAGTGCTAATCTGTATCTGTGCAATACTTTACTCTAGGTTACTCATTGCTCCTCCCTAAATCCCATTTCAGTTTCTATAATTACTAATTTTTTTGTGAAATTCCTAATTTGAATAGAATAAAATAAATTATATTTTGGGTGCATAATTTTGTGGGTTTGTTTTTTGTTTAATTCAAGCGGGAAATCGAAGTGGGTTTTTTGAATTTTGAGATTTTGTGCTGTTCCCGGTAGAATGCGGTTGAGGATATGCGCAACAACAAGCATTTTTCTTAATTTTCAAGTAGTTATGCTGTTGGGTAATAATTTCCAGGTATAATTATGATTAGATTTTATCATTTTAGTATTTATGATTAAAATTTCAACCAAATTACTGTTTGGTCATCTTGTTCTTTGATCTTGTGTTTAGGTGATGATGGCCTGGATTTTATTACCGTGGAGCACTCGCGTAATTATTCCCGGCGCTGGCGAAATCTGTGCGGACAGGAACGAATGGATGAATTATACAAGCAAGGAATCTTGAACTTGTGGAAGCGTATTTAACATTGTTTGGTGGAGGGATGCATTCCAATGGTAGTCGAAGCAGATAATGATGGAGACAATATCAACATGGTAGAAGATTCACCCGAACGTGAAGAATACCCGAATTTTATGGTGTTGGATTCTAGTGATAGTGAAGAATTTGAGTTTATAACTCCAATGAGAAAAAAAGTTGGATCAAATCCCTCGTCGGTGGTAAGAGAACTAGTTCATTGTTAGTCTCATGGCCATATCGTCTTTAATGTTTGAGGAACTATAATTTTCAAGATAGTGAAGTTGTTTGTTTGCGTCGAAGGATTGCAAAAGCACCATTAGTCAAGATTCAGTTCCAACAATTTCTAGTAAGAAGCAGTGCACCGCAATGCAAGTGAAGAAAACTTCAGTTTATGAAGAATTACAGGCTTTGGATGATGCTGAGCTGGCCAATGTTGTAATATTTGGTAATAGGGTATTTCGACCCTTGCAGCATCAAGCATGTTAAAAGCTGTGCTGATGGTGAAACAATGCTGATGATTTGCGTATTGCGCGTAATGGCCTACCGGGAGGGAGCAACCCTTTATTACCAGGTGGTCTCCTTACGATACTGCAACACTTTTGCTAGTGATCTCTTATAATTCTTTGAAGGTTATACACTATGACTCGTTTGGCTAGTTTCCAGTTGGATTACCGGATACAAAGTCACTTTTGATTATTTTTCGATTTTGCACAAGCTTTCCAAACCCTGAGCCGGGTTGTGACAATTGTGTAAGAAGTTTCCCTTATTTGATATTGTATAGTAACTATGATCCTCAATGGACATATATTCGTACAGTAACTTTTTTGTTTCTCCAAGCTTTGAAGCAGGGCTGTCGCTTCCAATAAGTAAGTTTTTTTTTTCTCCTCTTTTGTACATAAAATAAGAACTTTTCTTGGTTCTTACATTGGGTCCTAATTGTCACTATTATTTTACAACGACACGCTTTTTGTGGTTTCTTGCATGCGTATTGTGGGTATTTTCTTAGATATAGCTTTTGGTATTGTTATTCCATCTTATATCCGATTAAATTTTTCACACACTTAAATATTTATTATGTTAATATGTTATATCTTATTTTTGATTACCTGACTGATGACAACGGTTTGTTGATTTCTTGAGAAAGATAAACATCTAACTATTGTGATTCTGAAGGTGCCCTACTCACTTCACCCGAAAATTCTGCTTCCAAAGGTGATTTCTATTACTGACTGATTGTATTGTTACCATGAATGCTTGCATTAGATTTTAAAAGCTGTTATGTATCGAGCTTAGATAGCCTTGGATTTTAAATCAACAGGGGGCAGCTAGCAACTAAGCGCACTGTGTAAGGTATGTCCTGTGTTTCGTTACTCGTATGCATGTTTGTTTTGGTTATAGTTGGATTGTTTCCAGCATTATCAGGAGAGTTTTAGATTGGGGGCTGTCCACCTTCTGGTGGGTAGCTAAAGTGGTTAGGTCATGTTACAAATGTCTGGTGTTTGGGTCACTCTCCCATTGATTTTTTATTTTGACAAGTGTCTCTATAACAACCACATTCAAGTTAAATTGCCACTCTTTAAAACTATTAATAAGAGTGTTTTGGTAATAATTATTTTATATTCTTCATCCATGCTTCACAGCCAATGGGGACATGATTTCCGTTCAGATTACAGGGGATTAGGATGTCTTAAGCAGATATTCCGTGATGTTCCAGTGATGGCATTAACTGCCACAGCAACTCATTCTGTTCGTTGAGGTAGGATGATTTTCAGAATGAATTTGTTTCTGCTGTCTGTTATGAAGTAAAAATGTTTGTATGGATGCGTTGCAGGACATTTTAAAAGCTTTAAGAATTCCCCATGCTCTTGTCCTCGAAAGAAGTTTTGATAGGCCCAACTTGAAATATGAAGTCATCGGTAAGACCAAGGAATCACAGAAGCAGCTTGGAGAGCTACTGAGGAGTCGTTTCCAAAACCAGTCCGGAATTGTATACTGCCTTTCAAAAAGTGAATGCGTTGAGGTATCAAATTTTCTGAATGAAAAATTTAAGATGAAGACAGCATATTATCATGCTGGGATTGCTGCTCGCCAAAGAGTTGCTGTGCAAAAGAAGTGGTACACAGGAGAGGTTCAAATCGTATGCTCGATACAAATTGCTTTTTGGGATTGGACATTGACAACAAGAGGTGTCTAAGTCTCTATACCTTCTGCAATTTTCTTTTTCTCGAGACTCTTTTATTGAATTTTTTAATACTGAATCCCGGTCATTGTAAAGAACACCCTTTGTGGATATCGTTTAATTCCCTTTTCCTTTTGTCTAGCGTTTCGTCATCCACAACACGATATCCAAATCAGTAGAAAGCTATTACCAAGAATCTGGAAGGGCTGGTAGAGACGATCTTCCTGCTGTATGCATTGTCCTATACCAGAAGAAGGATTTTAGTCGGGTTGTATGTATGTTACGTAACGGTCAAGGATGTAAGAGCCAAAGTTTCAAGACATCTATGGCTCAAGCTCAGAAAATGCAAGAGTACTGTGAATTAAAGGTTAGAAACTTCAAACAATCAAGTGATTAATTCGTAACGAAAGATGTATAATCTAGCTTTGTTATATAATCATGTATGTTCTTAGACAAAATTGGTGGTTTCCTTGTTGCATGATTTTTTCGAATCTCGGAATGCCTGGAGGCAAAATGCTACTCAACACATTGTGACGAGTCTTTTGTTAGATAAAATGCCTGCAAGTATGGTTCCAATCCTTGTGTTAACTGTGTCAAGGCTTCCTCTCGAAGATGAATGCTTTCTGTCGTGTGATGAAGGAGATAGGGAGAATGAGGATTATTCCGGGTAGTATGATAACAGCTTATTTCCGAGGTCAATCCTTTATTATGACCTCCTAGTTAATATCTCTGCCAACCTTATGTCTCGTCACATTGACTTGGTTTTCTAGTAGTCAAAGGAAAATGAATTAAGATTTTGATTAAATCTAAGATCTATGATTAAGACTAAGATCTAAAATACCATGAAGAATTAGTTAACAAATGGCACATGCTCAACTAGTTAGTCGTTAAAGAATTGCTTTACGTGCTGCAAAATAGTTAGCATTAGCAAACCTCATTTCCATCTAAGCTAGATTATGACATGTCAACAACCCTACATAATGTGTTTCATGTGGGAACTTATTCTGTCTGCAAGTCATTCCCATCTAAGCTCTCTTAGGCTAGTTGGGTTGTTGTGTTTTTCAAAATTATTTCTGCTGTGCTGTGAATAAGCTGAAAGAGCGGGAAAAACGGTTTTTAGCTTACCAGTAAAACTATAGTAGATACAAAGTGCATTTAGCAAAGGAACCAGATGGAAGGTGAGATTGTCAATATAAAACTTACCGCCTCCAATGAAAAAAAAAACATTTTTTTTTATTTACTAGAACCATTAATTAAGGCTCAACTCTTTTTTTAAAAAGGCCTGATAGCCGAAAAGAAAAACATAAGACAGTAAATCCAAACAGTGCTTTATCACCTACTCTTCTAATTTAATGCCTTGGTAATTGAATCGCTTTCCAAATAATCCATTGGACCATCAGAAAATATTATGAGAGCAAATTAATCAGTTACATGAGTGAATCCCTGTAAAACTTTTGAACGTATCCTGCCAACCTACTTTAGAGATCTCCTTGACAATAATTTTTCAAATATAAAGTCGACCTAGATCCCTTGATTAAAATTCTGGGCCTAAGGATCAATGATCCAGCCGTTAAAAATGATCCAACGCTACAATAGAGAGCTCACTAAAAAATGTATAAATAATAGTCAGCTGTGGAAAATCGGCAAGTATTCATACGCTTACAAGTGAATTTTTATACCAAAAACCACAATAGAGTGACGCAAAGCATTAGATCTGATAAAACTATAAAAAGTTTACTTCACTCTATATCACTCGCAAGTATGTTAACATAAATGATTAATAAACACCTGTCATATTAACACCCTAGGTGCGAGTACGTGGCAACTACACCGTGACTATTATATTAACCGAAATACCACATATCTGTATGGTGACGCCAGCCAGAATCCAAAGAGCAACCAAAAAAACCAACTTCTTTGGCTAAATATCGCATTTTATTATTTTTAGTAAGGAGACTTTTTGCATGGAAGTCTCGGAACTAAGGACAAATACCTAAAAGATTTGAAGAATGGCAACAACACCCCTTAAATTATGGATGAATATAGGTAAATAAATCGCGCGTCAAAAAAAACCCAAAAATGGCAATGATAATTTATAAAAACAAAGACAATAAACATTAATGCCCTGGTAGGCTTGAGGCAACCAAAATCAACCGGAGTTTCAAATAATTGACTTAAGGTAAATATTTCCATCCACTTTGTTTCTTTCTACGTATAATCATTCGTTATGTGTGAGTTGTTTTTTGTCTATGTGGTGCAAATGTAATTTAAGCGTTAGTTTATGTAAGGTTCTCTAGTTCAGTATGTCATCAATTTAATGAATTATCCTACAATCAATCATACCGAATACGCAAATTGATATAATTTCACCAGATACATTTAAGGAAAAAGCCCCAATATGAGAAAATTAACCAAAGCCATTTACGATCACGACCAGAAATCAAATATAAATATCAACAAAGAAATGAAGAAGAAGAAAGGAGAGAGAAGAAACAAAACAAAATCCATCTTTGTTCCTTTTTGTCCCTTACATTATGTATATGCAATTTTTGTATGATGTGTGGTGTGGTACAATTACTTTAACTCGGCTGTCGGAATACAGAGACCTTTCTCCAAGTAAAAGAATGACAGGTGTGATAAAAAAGACCAAGGAATCATGTACCCTTTAACAGAAATTTGCAACCATAATTTATTGAGATCACTCAAACCTTTAAAAAACACATACAAATTCACATTTATGAAAGCTTGGAACATAAAAATGGGATAAAAGAGTCATTTAGTATTACGATCTAGTGATATTATTCTTCACTTATAAGTGACAGGTCTTAGATTTAATCCTCGTCAAAAATGAATTTGAACCACATTAATACTAATACATTAAATCTATAAAAAATAATAGGACAAAAGAAAGAAAGCCCGTTTGATTTTGAACTCTCTCGGCAATCCCCTAAGTAGGGTCGAAACCGACGACTTAAAAATTGGAGTGATTTGAACCTTCGATCGATCTGGCATTAAAGGTAGGGCCCATAAACCATCAATTTAAGGTCAGACCATGGCCAGCATAGAGGGCACAATGATTTACGGCCGGCAAAAAGAATAATAAATTAAATAATAGTGTGGCCCAGTAAATAAATAACCAAAACAAGAGAGTAATGCTATTCACAATTAATTTTTATTTTAATTATTTTTTTCTGTCGGATAGTTCTTTGTTAATTATTTTACTAAACATCCAATTTCCCAAATAAAAATAGTGTGTATGTAAATAATAGGGTTTGTATAAACCCATAGAAAAGGAGCGAAATTTTCGCAAGCTTTGGACTCATCAGCCACTCAGCAGCTCTCTCTCTCTCACACAGCGGTTTGTTTTCTTCTTTCTTCTCCCGATTCCTTGTTGGGTGATAACGTCTCTTCTTCTATCATTTTCAAATCTCTCTCTCTCTCTCTCTCTCTCTCTAACTTTCTCTTTCTCTCTCTCCCCCAGTGTCTGCAAATTCCCTTCTGATTTCTCTCGAGTTTTACACTTTTCCTCTGTTGCATTCTCAAAGACTCTCTCTCTCTCTGTTGCTGAAATTTAAAGACTATTTTTTTTACTCTCAAAACCCAAATGATTTAGCTGCTCTACGCTTTCAGATCTTCGATCTTTTACTCCACTCCCGATTTTTCTTGTTTTTCAGCACGAGAAAGAGTCCAAAAATAGAAAGAAAGAGTTGGGGTTTGGAAATGTGGGTTCTTGGGTAAAGTTAATGTGGTTCAATTGACTCAAGGTTTACTCATTGACTGTAGCGTTTGCTTCTGCTCGTGTTTGGAATATTATGAGTTGCGAGTTCGGAAGCGTCGGATTTGGATTTTTGGTCTTCTCAGAAGGAAAAAGAAGAAAAAAGGAGTGAACTTTGGTTGTGTGTAGAAAATGGTTCTGCAGGATGAAGGATTTTCAGGTGAGGACTTGATTTTAAATAAGCCCGGATTTGTAGCTTTCTATTGATTTTATAAAGGGTACCAATTGCCTTTCTATTATTTAGTTGGTTATAATACCCCGATTTGTGGTACTTGATTTTGCTATATTTCTCCACAATTTTGGAAACTTTAGGTGTAATTTACTGTTTTTATATATGTATGCCTGTAGTAATTAGGCGTTAATTTATGCTAAGTTATATGCATATTGTTAATTTCTCTAATACCTTTGAGAAATTCAATGCATTTTAGTACAGATTGCCACTGGGTTCTTGTTCTAAATGATCCATATTGTTAATCCCAGGCTCCGATAGGTCTGTGGATGACAAAAATGGATGAGTTGAGAAGAAACGCTTCGAAAGGGGCTTTCTTAACTTGTTTGAATTTTGGGAATGGAAAATACTCGGAAGAAAGCTCTTCTTCGGCCAGTCCTCTTGAATCAATCTTAGATATATTTTCAATTTTACTTATTTTTTGGTGCATATCTTGCTTTTTGATCTGCAAGTGGTGGTCCTTAGTTATGCATTGTGTTTAACTTATGCCATTTTGACTGTAAAGGATTAAAGCAAGGAAAAGAAAATGTGGAGAGTTTCCAGAAGTCTAGAGCTCCCTATAGTTTAAAAGGCCAACATCCTCTTATACCCTCCTGTTTGGTCCCATACTTAGGTTTGTCTATGATGTAATGAAAAGTACTGATCCATACATTGTTTTTACTTGTTATTCGATTGGGATACTTGCAGGTAGAGGTGGATGAAAGTGGAACTGGAACCACTTCAAGTAATAAGGGAAGTGGTGATTGGAATTGTGCTTCATCAGTGACTAGTGAAATTAGGATGCTCCATGTGGGCTAGAAGGCCCCTGTGTAGTTGCCTAGATTAATGGGTCTGGATTCATTGCCTGCTTCAACTGCCCCACCCCCGAAGTCTATCTTCTAACCTACTCTGATTTCCCAAATCACTAAAGCATCTCACATGAGGGACGTTCTAATTTGTGGAGTGATTTTTATGCCACAGAGTACATAAATGTGCCAAAGAAGCTGGATAGGTTTTCTTGGAATCTTGTAGAGCCTAGGACACAGGGGGTGCCGAGCCACCCAATTGAGAGATTTCAAACTGAAGCTTTGCCTCCAAAGTCAGCTAAGTCAATTCCAGTTACTCACCATAAGCTTTTGTCGCCTATCAAGAGTCCTGGCTTCATTCCACCAAAAAATGCAGCTTATGTAATGGAGGCGGCCTCAAAGATCATTGAGGCAAGTCCTCGAGCATCTGCCAGGAGCAAAGTGTCATCTGTAGGGCCTTCTTCGATTCCCTTGAGAATTCGGGATTTGAAAGAGAAGATGGAAGCTGTGCATAAAGCATCAGGACCTGAAAGACCCAAGGAAGCTAGTGACTTCAGGTATATGAAAGGACTGCCTAGTGACAGGCGCCATAACGGGTCAGATAATGTACCAGTAGCCAAGGCTTCTGTGGATTCAGAAAAACAAAGTTACAGGGATGTGAGGAATAAGGGCAAATCAGTATCCCTTGCAGAACAAGCAAAGGTCAATATTCAGAAAAGGGAGGGGTCGACTTCTTGTCGTAATAGAAGTTTTATGAACCAGAAGGAACAGAATGAGGTCAAACAAAATCAGTTTTCCAAGAGCAAGTCAAGTACACAAAGATCTACGCATAAGAGAACTTCCGTTGAGAGCGCCAGAACTGCGCTCAAGCAGAATAACCAGAAGCAGAATTGTGTATCTAACAGAGATAAAATGACTTCAAAAAGTATGGTTCCTAATCAGCCTACTAGAAGAATGCAGCCACCTAATGGCTCTACTGGGCCAATGAAAACTGTGAATAAGACTATTGTAAGCTCTGAGATTGGATCTGGAAAGTTGGGCTCAAGGGCGACTGCTAATGGAAAAGAGTTTCCGTTATCCACAAGAAAGATTGTTTCTGGAAAGGTAAGGTCTGTTCATCAGGATGATCATTCAGAAGAAACTGTTTCCGATGATTCATATATCGGTGGAGATGAAAAGTCAGTGAAATGTAATTTTTCAAGGAACGGGTGTTCCAATTTGGGCGCAGATAATAGGAACCAAGGCATGGATGTTATTTCATTTACATTCACGTCTCCCCTGAAAAGATCATTCTCTGAATTGCAGTCACCTGGTCAACTCACAAGTATAAATAACAGCTTTTATATTGATTCTTCTGGTCACAACAATCAGCAGTTCTATCCCGAGAATTTCACATTATCTTCTCCTGGGTTGAACGTGATTGGTGGTGATGCTTTGAGTGTCCTTCTGGAACAAAAGCTTCAAGAACTTTCATGTAAAGTTGAGTCATCTCAACGCAACCAATCCAGTGAAGTGACTTCTGGTACTTCTACGTCTTGCTTGCAAGATATGGTTTCCAGTGTGGCAAGCACTACATCAAGAGGCAAGGGGTTCAAAGTTGGTTTAACCAAAGATAAAACTGACAGCACAGACGACTATGATTGCTTGTCAGTTGAGGTTAACCAGCAGGGGCAGGTTAGTTTCTTTTGTATGTAAATTTTTCCTTTTGCAGCTTCTGTTTTATGCTTAATGTTCTTGACTCGTGATTTTTCGCCCTTGGTTTTTCATGATCGAGTCAAAAGGCACTTAAGATGTTTGGGGGGCTCATCTGTTGTTTGTGCTAGGACACGAAATCTAATGCATGGACTAGTTGTACTAACTAAATGAAACAACATTGATAATTGAAGCAAATTATTCAGCATATGGATGAATATTTGGGATGTGGATAGGCCTTGCAGATAATGTAATTAGTAAAACCAGATACGGTGTTAAGTTACAGAAACCACTGTAATTTAGTTTGTTTTATAGGCATCTAAAATATAGGTCGTCTTGAGATATGCATCTGTGCTTCAAGTGAAGATTCTGTATTAAAATTCAAATTCCACTGCGGCAGGGTGAAAATATTTTTGAGAGATCGATGACAATATAAGCAATCAAGATATGGTAGTCTGTATTTGATCCATCTTTGTGAACACGATTCACATTTTATAAATATTTGAAATTTTGGATAAAATTCTTTCACTCTGGTCCCATTAATCTTTTCAATAGCTGCGTTATTTTAAATCTGATTTTACGTTATGAAGATTTACTCACCATGCTAGTCAAATTCTCTTAAACAATTTCAGGGATCAGAAGGGGTGGAAGAGTGTAGCAGTAGCAGTAGAAACATTACAACTGGAAAAGAATTTGATCGACGTCGTAGTCCAGTTTCAATTTTTGAACACTCAGTTGAGAGTCGAACCTGCACAGATAACAGAAGTAGCGCCAATGGTACAACTACAGTCTTCTTTTCTATATCTTCCTTTTCCAGTACATACGTTCATAACTATGACTTAGATCTAAGTGTCAGATTAAAAGAGTTGTTTTGCAATGTGAATAGCTTCAAATTTACTCAGCAGTCAATATCATCAAAGAATAGCCAAAAACCCAGTGAACCAGAGAAAATATGAAGATCTATTCAACGGGGGCGAGTTTTATGTATATGCAAGAACGTGAATTACACAGCTTTGAGTATTTCCATGCCAGTTGATAGTCTTGCATGGTAAATTAGATAAGACAAGCTTAGTGGAACCTCTTGTAAGACTCGAACCGCCCCCTCCCCCTTTCGGCCTCCATTGTACCAAAAAGGAAAAGGGAAACCTCTTTATATGATTTAGGCACTATGTTATAACGAAACATACACATGTTCTTGTGATAGAAAAATGACTTAACATGCATGCAATGCTCTCCATTTACAGGCAGTGACAGTGAGAGATGTTCATTGGCTCAACTTCAAGATCAAGGCAGTTCACTCTCTTCATATGGTGTTTCAGATTTCCTCGACTCAGCCTCTTCAGCTTCTAGAGGGGATGCCAGCGGAAAGAGTACGACTATGATATCAGGTTCGCATTCAAATGACTGGGAACTGGAATATGTGAGATACGTCCTTAGCAATGTAGATCTAGAGATGGAAGATTTCGCCTTGGGTGATGCTCAACATGTCATCACCCCAAGTCTCTTTGAGCATTTGGAGAATCAAGAACAAGAAGAGTATCCGAAGGTCGAGCAGAAGATTGTGTTTGACTGCGTAAATGAAGCCCTGCAGTTCAGATGCAAGCAAATATTTGTGGGAAGCCGCAAAGCGTGGGATAGATTGACCGCATTGTCTCAGAGGAAGGGACGATTAGCTGAGGAGTTGCACAAAGAGATTTCGGGTTGGAAAAACATGAGAGAGCTGATGGGGGATGAGCTTGTGGACAAGGATATGAGCACGCAGCGTGGAAGATGGCTCGACTTTGAAGTTGAAGTGTTTGAGGAGGGTCTAGAGATTGAGAAGGGGGTACTAGATTGTCTGGTGGATGAGTTGGTGTCTGATTTTTTGAACTTTTAGGCCCTCTTTAAGCTTGCCTTGTATTAATTATTTACCTTGTGCATACTACAAAATTTTACTATATTTCGGTGTATGACATGCACCAAGACAATTGACGGCTGAACGTGTGATTCAAGTTGTAATGGAAAATTACCACTGGTGCATACTAGAAAATTCTCCTTCTACTGATCCAATCTCCCAAATGAAGGGAAATTTAACTACACTTCTTACGTTAAGGTACTATTGTCCAAAACTTATCACGCGTCATGTATTTTAACTCTAAAATATCTCAATAACATCACATGATTAGTTTAAGACACTGTCATCTTGTCTTCTTGGTTTTAAGTAATTCTTAGTTTTACCGCTAAGATTCCATTCCTCTGGATACTAACTAGAGATTTTGGCTTGGTGTGAAGTTTGAGTGAGACCTTGTCAGGGATTTTATCCAATTAATGGAACCATGTGATTCTGGTTCTAGTTTTGCTAATGCTACCAATCTGACTCCTAGCACTGGTCCAATCTCAAGGTCGAAATTACTAAACTCCCCAAGTGATATATTCAACCCTACTGAGGAGAAGAAATTATGTAGGGGCATTTGGAACATGTCATCTGTAAGGAAGCTTTTACAAATCAGATAGACTGTATTGTTATTAAGGGACATTCTTAGGTGCTCCGGAGGATTCAGTACTTCGGGAGTTTTAGTCGTTAGATTTTTATTTAAAAATATAAAAATCAAGATCTGATAGTTAAAACACTTGGAGTACACCGAGTACTCTAGAGCACCCAATAATTTTTGTTGTTACTAATTCATCACTTGACAAGCATCTGCTGGATGGATGGTGTACCTTTTGAACACGTGATAAACATCCATTAGATGAGTGCCGACACTAGAATAATGTATTGGTTGCAAGGAAAATCTTTGACCTTGTGTATTCTGGTCTCATCTGACTCACGTTGGTTCAACAGTGAGAACTGCCCTAATCATGCAGCAACGTAACGGGTGAGCTAAAATTGTTATAAAGTAGAAGAAAATATGTTGCGTCATTGCGGAATATCTTCTAACGTATACAACGTAACGAGTGTTATAAACACAAGAATATACATGTCCAGTTATAAGTAGATTCTCTTAAAAATTAGGAGAAAATATGTCATGTCAATGATGAGTATAAACAATCGTGACCTACTCACACAAAGGCAGTTGAAGACTAAGAGTAGTAGTAAACAAATGGGGTAAAATTAAACCTGTCAATTTAACAGGTCTACCCGTTGGTAACCCCTTAAAATGAATAAAATTATTTCCTTTTCTTGTTTAACCACAAACAGAAATAGAGTAATGTAAAAACAGTAAAAAAAAAAAAAGGAATTTCAACCATGGCAAACCAACTGGCCTACCCTTCATCTGCATTTCTTACCTCCATTGAGGGGGACAAAGGCTAGCTGTGTAGGTCAATAGCCAGAACATGTTCCCAAAACTTCATCACATTGAATTAAAGATCTTCTTTTTTTCACAATTTTTATTTTTGATAAATTGACTTTTTCTTTATTGAATAGCTGCCTAACAGGGTAATAAATAAAAACTCTAACCATTTACTTCAAAATCCAAGAACAACTCTTCATTCATAATGTTTAGGGTTACGCATCATTCATTGATTGATCAAGGTAGCTTTTGCTTGCTTCCAAGTCCAAGTGGTAGCGTAAGAAGTTAGTCGCCATAAGCGAACTTCCGGGCCGAGATGGTATTTTGAAAAGGGAATTTTGAAAACATAATTTTGAATACAGAGATAAACGCTCTTAATTACTTAAGTTGTAATTTTTTTAAAAAAATCAGAAATGATGATGAAAAGAGTTGGAGTTCCACCTTAAAATCAATTGGCAATGTAGGAGTATCACAATTACTTATAAGCACATGCAAGGTCTCCTAATGTGGGATTCATTCTCAACACGTTTCCTCACGTGTGTCGAATTGTCTAGCCAACGTGTGGACAACACAAATCGGATGATGTGGAATACGTGTGGCCGTTAGGCTTCAAACATGGGACATCATGCTCTAATATCTTGAAGAAAGTTGGGGTATAAAACTAATTGGCAATATGAGGAATAACCGAATTACTTTTCTGCACAAGCAAAGTTCCTCATTTCCCGGACGTAAAGGTGGGCACTTGGAACCAAAAACCGAAACCGAAACACGAACCAAATCGAATTGCACCGAACGGTTTGGTTTTGCGGTTTTGAAACTAAACAGCATTGTAAGGAATGATTTGGTTTCGGTTTTGGCTTTTAAAAACCGCACTGCAAATACTAATAAACATTTAATTAGATGTCCATATGAGATGTCATGTTTTAATTGGTTGTTCATTAGAGTTCCATACATTTAGTATCTACTCAACCACACTAGAATATCATCATTCATCATTTGTTGCATGTTTGCTTGCTGCATATATAGTTGCTGCTTGTTTGTTTGTGTATATATTGTCCTAATTTTAGACAGAAATAGATTATCAAAACATCCTCACTCAATGTATTCATTGTTAACATGCGTTCATTAATTAATGTATTGTGTAGAAAATGAGACCGTCTTATGTGTAGATAGATGTATACTTTAAAATGTATATATCTTTCTTAAAAACTGAACCAAAATCGTACCGAATCGAACCAAATGGTTTGGTTTCATTTCAGTTTTGGCTTCAAAACTGCACCGAACCAAACCGTAAAAAGTTTTGGTTTTGGTTTTGGTTTCACTCAAAACCACACCGAACCAAACCTTGCCACCCATACCTGGATGTGGGATTCACTGAAAACAGATAACCATAATACAAACACTCTCTAAACTTTCACTCTCTAAATTGTTGTAAAAGTTCCGAATTCTCCCCCTCTTCCCAATAATAGTAAAAAACAAAAAAAAATCTTTTACCACACAGAGTCATGAAAAGCATACAATAATACAAACACTCATCTATAAATTATTGTAATAGTTCCGAACTCTCTTCCTCTCTCCCTCCCCACAGTAATAGTAAATATATATATATATATATGTATATATATATTTTTTTTACCAGTCAGTCATTAAAAGCATACAATAATACAAACACCAGTTTCCTTGTACCAAACTGTTGGTGGCCTGGTTGGTAAATCATGTGCCAGCAAGTGGGCCTTTTTGTGTGACTTATTGCTCTGTACAAGCTTTGATCAAAACAAAAGGGCTTGTATTAGAGTATTGCTCTAACTAACTTAACCTAACAGAGCTCCATATAAAACCAAAAGCCATAACTGTTGATATCTAATTGGCAAGCCAATTCATGGCTGCCAGAAATTGTACTACGTAGTAGGACTTTTTATTCAAAATGATCTCTGACGTTAGCATAACTCTATACTTTGACCCATGACAATGAAAATTGATTGAAGTGGCCCCTAAGTTTGTTAGCTATAAATCATTTTGGTCTTCCACGAAAAATTTGTCAATATCTTCGTTAAATAGTCACGTAAACGACTACGTGACCACTTTTTTAAGGAATAAGGATTAAAATGATTCACGGTGGACAACTCGGGAATCATATCTATCGATTTTTATTGTCAGAGACCAAAATAAAGAGTTATACAAATCTCATCTTGACTAAAAAGCCTTTATGTAACCACACCGGTATCTTTAAAGGTGGAATAGGATCATCTTCGGATAATCAATTAATCGTGTCTATTTATCGTACATCGTGCAATTAGAAATTATTTTAATTATTTTAATTTAAAATTGAATATAAATAGTACCTAACGAAAACTGACTGCACGATATACAATAAACGGACATGATTGATTGATTCTCAAATCCCTACAAAGAGAATCCGGAGAGGATACTTTTCAGTAAAACCTTACCCTTAATACCCATTTATTTAGACTTAGTAGCGGACACTTGCAGAATTCTTTACCAAACACATCAAGCATAGGGTTCTTTTTGGATGATGATTTTTATGGGTTTCATTTAATGTTCATTGACTAATCGTTGTGGATGGGAAAAAACCAGATTTATGAACATTAACCCCAAGATTCACATTGTGCAAACAAACAAAAAATAGAAGAAAAAAACAGAGCATGTGATGGTGTGGCAAAATGCACATGGTCATGCTCTCAATTTCTTTGCCTAATTTAGATTGGATTTTGGACCATATGAACCAAACTCTATTAAACACATCTTTCAGCTTCAGCTTGGTAGTTAAGTAACTGGACAGGCAATGACTTGTACTCGTTGATTATTCTAGATTGAGAAACGCTAAGGTGATTTTCTCAAACTTGAGATTCCCTGGGGACTCTCCATGTACTATTCGCTAACTCATTTTTTGGCATAATTAATGTTTTATAATGCTAGTACAGAAATTAACGTTAAACTGTGAAATAAAAGAAAGTTTATATGGAGTCTTACTTTTGCAAGCGCGATGTTTACATTTTTCTTTTGGGTTCTAATGTGGGCTCATAATATTTCCCATGCTACATAAGCATGGCCATTGGCCACCTTTCTCTCTATAAAACCAATATTCTTATTTCTTGGATAGAGGGAAATCTGCAAAGAGACTCTCCATCCACAAAGTATGCAGATTACAAGATTAATTAGTATTTTTGTTATCTTTATTCTGATTAAACTATGGTTTTACTTAGGCAGATTGGGGGTTTTATAATTGATTAATTATTAGGGGGGAGAGTATAGGTATAGATGCAGAACCTCAGCCTTGGGACAGCTGCCCAAAAGTTAGGATCCTATGAAGAGAGCTATGGCATAGTGCATGTTGCCCTCTTTTAAATATAATTTTAGATTAGATTATTTAATGGAAGTTTTACCGAAACACTCAAGATATTGTTCATTTTTAACGAAAAATTACATTTTTACCTTTAATTGGTACTATTCACTACACCTTTATTTTTCATTAAAACTAAAGTTTTTTTGAACTTTTCGTTAGTTTTCATTTATTTTAATCGAGTGCAAATCTATATATGTTTTATGAAATGCTAAGAAGACTCTATCAAAAGTGAGACTCTATATGAACTTTCTGTTGTCTCATATTTTTTATATAATATTTTATAATGTTGGCATGAGATTTGACGTTAAACTGTGAAGTGGTAGAGAGTCGATAAAGAATCATACTTTAAAATAGTCTTTTAGAATTTCTCGTGTTTTCTTAATGTAAATGTAATGATCAAAATACGAGTGAGTTTAGTTGTTGACTTGAGAGAGTAATATATGGAGCTTACGAGGCCACATCCATTTACTAAATTGGAGCTAAAATCTTATATCTAAGCCTAAATATAAGTTCAAACTTCTTCAATGCACACGAGATTTAAAACTTATATATAAGTTTTCGAAAAAAATGAAACTCAACTGAGTTTCAATATGATTTGTGTCTAACGTGGAATTCATACCAACAAGGAAAAATATTATTAACATAAGAAAAATAAGATTTGAGTTTTGGCTTCACGTACCCAAGTTGTGAAAACCCTCTCCTCCTATTAAAATACTCAAATCTTAAAATTTGTATTGAATGTCATACAAATCAAACACATAAAACCTGATTTATACGCAGGTTGTCAAATTCATTTGGGTTTGAGTATTTTGGTTTTCTCCTCCAATGCAAATATTTATATAGTCTTATATTTAAGTTTTAAGATTTGAGACATTGCATTGAATAAATAAAAAAAATATTGGAGTCAAATACAAAATTGTGCATTGGAAATAGGGTCGAAGCAAGAAATTTAAAAGAATGATGGCATCCTTAAACAACAAGGTACAATTAAAAAAACTAAAAAATTTACTGCACAAAACACTTATATATTAATCTATAAAGTTTTGCATACAACATCTTACAATATTCTTCAACGCGTTTTTATGTGTTTGACAGCGGTGCATGACAACATCATTACCAAATATCATCAAATATCTCTCTCTATAAAAATAATCATGTTATTATTCATCCATTGATCTCCCATTCGATTTCTCAATTGATTCTTCAAAAATTTCATGGCCGAAAAAGCTCTTTCAACAGTGATAGTAGCAACTGGAAGAATTAGTGCTAATGTCACAAACATGTAAACTAGCGGATACACCTTGTCTTTTTTTCATTGGACCATTTTTTTTTAGAGTTTAATTAGAATTGACGTTGGAATTGAAATGCAATCCATATTTTCATTTGTGGTTTAATTAGGGCTTAGGAATTGGAATGCAAAAGTACACACACACAATTGAGTGGGGGCGGATGCCCCCCCCCCCAAGGCCCTATACAGCTCCGTCCTTGATTGGAAAAGGTTGGACTCAATATTCATATTGAAACCCAAATTTGGATCCCAATTTTGTCGAAAATCAAATATGAGCTTTTAGGTCTCCGGTAAGTTAGAGATGATTAGCCTCGTTATTGAGCTAAAATACAATATTTGAGTTTTTGGTCTCCTGTGCATTGGAGATGCTCCAAAAAACACACATTAAAAATCCCACGAAATAAGGAGGACGGCTATGGCAGAAGCAACTATGCATTGAAGAGGGATGAGAGGCAAACACTTTCTCTCTTCTGTGTAGGTGAAGAGGGAGAGAAGCAAAGCAACCATGATTAATAAGACCTTTCGATTTAGGCCGGAAAAAGTTTGTGTGATACTCGTAAATTGAGCTCATAAGAATTATATTTTAACAGTGGACTGGCAAATTATAAATTACTAGGTTTTAAAGTATGACTCTTATAATGATTGAAGTCATACTAATATAACTGTAATGTTATCAGTATCAACTCAAACAACCTGATTTTTGTAAGTAAACTTCACACCCATTCAAACTACTCTGTAAACAATAAAGATACCAATATTTGAGGGCAATGTGCAGCTCACTCACTCGCCTTTCTCCTCCTCCTCCTCCTCCTCCTCGACTCTCAACACTTAATATTTATTTAAGTTTGTCAACGGAGGTAGCTACTTTCTCATTTTCCAAGGTCCATCCCGGCTCTTCTCTCAATGTTTTGCGGCCTTTTAATTCTTTTTATGCCGTAAACTTGTAGTAGTTGTTAATTGTTGTGGGTATTATTGGAGAACAATTCAGAAATAAACAAAAATAACAGAAATTTTAATATTTTATTAACCAAAATATACTTACTATACAAAACGAAAATTACACAATAAATACAGAAATTAATGTTACTAATTTGATTACAGAAGGTAGAGGCTAGAGTAAAAGTTATGTCCTTTGAACAATATTTTCGTCCCACTCCTGTGCTTGTGGTTCTATAACGTCTGCTCGACCAGGATTCAACTACCTAATTCTACAATCCGCACTGGATTCTAGAACTCTAGCAAATTTGTTTTTTGTGTGTTTACTCTCTAGAAAATTCGTACAGAAGGAAAGAGCAAGAAAAGATATGTTCCATTTGGATACTGTGATTGTAGATATATAGGCTTTTTCACACCCTTTCAAATACATGTTCAGTGTATTTAAGGTACACAACTCTTTCTAAGAGCCGTGTCTTTTAATCAAAATGTTTTTAATTAATAAATTAATTAAAAACTTAATCCGAAAATTAAAATTAATGAATCAGATTAATTTTAAATTCTAAGGAGGCCCAAGGCCCTTATATTGATGAATTAATATTAATTGTATTTAGGCTATATTATACAAGTCTAATCCACACAACCATAAGGCCCAAGCCTTCAATCCGTTTCCAAATGGTCCATGTTGTAATTACTAGACTAAAGCACTAAATCTATATAAAGGCCATTGAAAATCTTGTTTTCCCCAATATGGGACAAGAGTCTCAAAACTTCCAACATGTATTGTTCGCATAAAATCAAAATACATTTCCTCTCTTTTACTCAAACAGATAGTTATTTAGTATTACGATATATTGATATTTCTCTTTATTTGTAAGTTAAAAATTATAGGTTCGATTCTCGTCAAATACGAGTTTGAATTACATTATTACTAATTCATTGTAATACTTAGTTCACTCTCTCATTCCTTTAGTACAGATTAATATCATTTTTTCAAATAAAACAAAAGACCGCCGTGACGTATTTAACTTCTTGCTTGAAGATGATCTTACGACTCGTTGTGAAAATCACCCTAAATATATAGGGTGCAAATTGAGATATGAATTGACCTCTCTTTTCTTGTTCTCATAGCCGTTAAGTGGTAATGTTATTTACTAATTAATAATTAGTTTAATAACATTCCACTTTTGGATAATATAATTCAAAGTGATGACGTGTTGACTGGGTCATAAATGTAAATTCCACCACCTTATTAGATGTTTTGACGTAGACATTTAATTACCCAATATTGCATTAATAATTCCCACTTTTTACATAAAACAAGCTGGTTTAATGGTCCTCACAAATTAACGGAATTTATATCTTTGCTATTTTTATGACCAAATTAACCAATACGGGAAGTAGATTAGTTTAGTTGTTTAGGTTAATTAATCCTAATTAAAAAATTTTAATTTAAAACTTAGACCTTTAGCACGGACGATGGGAGGACCATGGCAAAAAAGTAATAAAGTGAATCTCAAGGGGTACACTTTGGCACCCACTCTGCACACTATATTTTCTGACTCTCTGCTCCTCTTTCCGCCAAACAAAGCTGCAGGGAAAATAATAATGGAGCTCAAAACTTCACCCGGCAATGGCACCCAACCCCCAAACCCTGAACCGAAACCCGACCCTCCAAACCCTAGCAATGGCGAAACCCAGCTTCAAGACCAGCTTTTCTTTGAAGACTACGACAGCACCTGCTCCACGCCTTACGTCAGCGCGCCGTCGAGCCCCGGACGGAGTGGGCCGGTCAGTGGTTTTTTCTACAGTGCTCCGGCGAGCCCAATGCACTTCGGGTTGAGCACAAAGTCAAACTCTTGTTCGCTTGAGAAGAATGGCGGCAACGGCAGCGGCTCTGTTTCTATGGGTTTTGAGTTCGAGTTCTCTGCGCGGTTCGGGTCGAGCGGGTCGGGCTCCACCGGTCCGATGAGCTCTGCCGACGAGTTGTTCTTGAACGGGAAGATCCGACCCATGAAACTTTCGACCCACCTGGAAAAGCCCCAGACTTTGGCTCCGTTGTTGGATCTCGAGGCGGAAAATGGGGAAGACGAGGCGGATCGGGGCGGTTTGGAGCCCGTGAGAGGCAGAGATCTGAGGTTCCGCGACAAGTCGCTGCGGCGGAGGACGAGATCTATGTCCCCTCTGAGAAATGAGCCCTTCGAGTGGGAACAGAGGGACGAGATTATTGAAGCTGATGAGAAGGACTGCAACTTTGCTGAAGATTCGAAAGCGCCGGCGAAAAATGGGGAAGAAGACGAAGAGGGAGCGGAGGAGAGCAGCACCGCCACTACTACTCCTTCGGTTTCGGCTTCGTCGTCTCGGTCGTCGTCGGGTGGGAGGAACTCGAAGAAGTGGGTTTTTTTGAAGGAGTTTCTTCACCGGAGTAAAAGCGAAGGGCGGAGCAGCAACCACAAGTTCTGGTCGTCGATTTCGTTCTCCGCCGCGAAGGAGAAGAAACCCACGAAACAGGGCGGTCAGAATACCCAGGGCTCTGCTCTAAAAGACCCCAAATGTAGCAATCCTTTGAACTTGGGCTCAGAGGGGCAAAAACTGAAGGGAAGTGGGGGTGGTGGTTCGGGGAAGAAGACGGCGGCCGTAAAACCCACCAACGGAGTTGGTAAGCGGCGGATGGCGCCGTCGCTTCACGAGCTGCATTACACTGCAAACAGGGCTCAGGCAGAGGAAATGAGGAAGAAGACTTACTTGCCTTACAGGCAAGGGTTGCTTGGATGCTTAGGGTTTAGCTCAAAGGGTTATGGAGCTGCCATGAACTCTGGGTTTGCTAGGGCTTTGAATCCTGTTTCTTCAAGGTAAGGTCAAATTTATGGTCTCCAATGGCAATCTCCATGGAACTTTGATGTGGTGGATTCAGAAGGAAGTGTAAAGATTTTTTTTTTTTTTTAGTTTTTTTTTTTTTTCTTTGAGGAATTTGTGTGATTATCTGTGTAATTACTGAAGGCTGGCTGGCTAGCTATTTTAGATCTCCTTTTTTCTTCTGAAAAAAGAGGAGCTGCAGCAGTCTTTCTGTATTTTGATGGGTTGTTATATGATGATTAAAATTATGTTGAAAATTCTTTTATTTCCGAGTTTTGCCGCAAAATCGAGTGCAGTGGCGGTTTTAGTTTATTCTCTGCTGTCAATACTACTACTGGGTATGATGGAATCAATCAATTTATTTTATGATTTAATTCCATGGTTTTTGATACTTTCAAGTTTTCTTCATGGGGGTCCTTCAACTTTCAGAGAGGGAGAGATGGAGATCCAGATCCATCTCTTCCTTCAAAGGTTACTCTTGACCCTTGGGATAATGATATGGGAGTGTTTTGGCAAATTCCCCTCAAATTTCCCATCATTAGAAAGACATAATACCAATTTGGGAAAATTAGAAGAAGTGATTAATGTGCATGAACATGATCATTGAAGTAATTCTATTGTATAATTGAGGGTACTGATCTTCGCACACTTATTTTTATTTTTTTACACATCTTGTTAATTTTCTGCCATTGATTTTCATCAATTCGTTTGATCTGACGACTGAAAATTGAAAGGAGTGTGTAAGAAGTAAAAATGAATATGTTGATAACATTATCCCATATATAATCTGTATCACTATCAAAATCCATCTTATCGGTATCTATTTCGTGACGCATTTCGCAAATCATGGAGCAAAACCTAACCATGTGTTCTTGGCAGAAGCTTTGGTGCTGCAAATGCACATTTTGCATGAGATGGTGGTTGGGATGTTTGGTAGAGTTGCTGAGGTGACCCAATAGAATCCTCCTCCTTATGTGATGTTAGCTTGTTTTGGGACCCTAAGAATCTACTTGTCTCAAATAATTACTTGCTTTTTATGGTAATCAATCATTACACCATTAAACATTCAAATAAGTAGATCTTAGATGGAGTTTTTGCAAAAGTGAAATTGAAATCTTAATTTGCAAGGGACATGGTGCCTCCTAGTCCTACACATTATGGACATAAAGGAGGAGGAGGAGGAGGAGTTTGAAATTTTGAGACATTCTCTCATCAACTTTTCATGTCTCAAAACAATCCAAATCCATCATTTTGCATCTCTTTTTTCTCATTATGTAAACTCAACTTAAAGGAGGTCCTAGAATTGGAAAATAATTCAAGTAAAATAGGTTGTAGGGCTAACAAGCTTTTTCTTTTTTCTTTTGACAAGAAAATTTTGAATATGAATGTCTCATCAGGTCATCTGTATTGAATCTCTCACAGAAGCATGTGTACCATGTATTTTAGTCGGACTCGACCTCAACCTCGCGCTGATATAACAATGCCCTAATCATGTAGCTCTGTTGAGCGCACTACTCTGATCAGATGAACTAACCCATGAGAAAGTTTGAGTAGGATTCCCGACCACGACATCATTAGCTAATCTCTCACAAAAGCACAAGTACCTTGTATTTTAACCCAACCCAACCCCCAACTGATACCACCCGATGTTAAAGTTGCCCTAACAAGTCAGCCCCGTCGAAGTTTCTCCCCTACCTCCCAACCATTTGCGAATGATAAGGATTTTCTAGAGAAGCCAAATATCAATGAGATCTGATCTGAGCCCCCCAAATTCCACTATTCTGCTGGCGACATGCAATTTACTTTTTATTTATATTTTATTTTTTAGCATGGAGAAAATAGAGGCAAAATCCCATCATGATCATGGCCCCCTCACCCGGTCTTCATTATTGTTCATAGCATGGGCAGATATTTTCCAGATATTTATTTTATTTCAACGTTCAATTATGACGTCATAAAGTCTTGAATCCAAGTAGGACGCAACGGGAAGATATAGCTGTTTGAAAAACAACAACACATCGATCGATCTCCATCAACTTTTGCACTTCAAAACGTCTGGTTCTTACCCCAAACGGTCCCATCTCCTCTTTAATTTCCTTTGCTTTGCTCATCATGTGGATATATTTGCTGTTTTGCCATTATTATTGGTTTGGCAGAGGTGTTTTTATAAAAAACAGGTATAAAAAAAATTGGGCTAAAAAATTTATTTGGTAAATACTTAAAAATAGATTATTTTCACAGTTTTGAGTGAAAATAAGTTGAAAACGTGAAGCAGCATAAATGTTGGATTATATGTTGAATGTTAGATTATGATTTCTTGTTAAATGTTGGATTATGATTTCTTGTTAAACGTTGGCTGTTTAAGATAAAATTTATAAATATTTTTCTTTTAAAAATAAAGTATATTTAGTAATTCACATTTATTTGTTAAGAAAATTAAATTAATGGCACATCTAGTATTGTACCCTTTTTGGTCATTTCATACAGTTATGGCTGTTTTATATAAAAGTTTACCAAACACTCTAATACTGTTTTTTTTTCTTTTCCAAAAGTACTTTTACAAAAAAGTTTACCAAACATTCAGCTGCTTATTCTCACCGCACAACAGAATCAATTTTGTTTTTTCAAAGCAGATTGATACCAAACCAACCATTAATCTTATGGCTCTTTTAGCTTCAAATCCCCAATCTTGAAAACTAAACCACCATGTAGTTATAATCGGACGAGGATCCTCTCCGGATTCTTTTTGTGGGGATTCTCATATCATGGCCGTTCATAGTGTTATGAGGTCAATTTTCGTTAGGTAATATTTGTGTTTAATTTTTAATAAATAAATTTAAAATGATTTCTAACCGCACGATATACTATAAATGACTAGGATGTGAGGATCCCTAAGATCTCCACAACTTGGATCTGGATGGTATCCGAATCCTTATATTCTGGCCATCAATGTGTTCCACGGTCATAGACATGAGTGTCACCGATGATTAAACTCATTAAAGTACTTGCTTGACGAGTGGAGGAACGTAAAATTACGGTTTGGTTGTATATAAAAATATATTGAAGATTATAAGAACGGGTTACCACCAGAAGATTGACAAATATGATTACACCAATGCCTTTTGTAATAAAATTTCCACGCTAGCATGTTGTGTAGGTAGTAAGATGCAATTGAAGACTAATATCAATTTTTTTTAGTGAGCCGTAACCTGTCTTTATAAAATCTTGATATGAAATGACTTTCGGCGATATGAGATTTTTTGCATGTGTGTCTTGCGAGGAGACGTGTTAAAGGAATACAAAACCCCACATCAAACGATTGACAAAACTAAATGACTAATTACTAATTGTGACTTTATACGTACGTTTTGTTGCACCTAAGCTCGAATTCTCCTCCTCGCAACCACGGTCATGCTAGGGTACAATAGTTAGTACAATAGTTTCCTCTTCTAGTTAACCTCTCCCCAACAACCATAAAAAAGCAAGCAGTTACAGCTCAAGATAAAACTTCCCGACAAGCCAAGCAGTTGCAAAAGGAAAGGTCGATGTTGCTTAAACTTTCAAGCTTTCGATGCGACATGACCTCTCTGTCTTTATCCGCTCCCAAATGATGCCTCCCATCCCATGAACATCGAAACAAGCCCACGCATATAAACGTGGGGTTAAAAGCTTACATCATGATTCATCCATGTGACTATTTTCAGAGAATCATTTTCAAGTACTGTGGCTAATTGTAAGTACTCGTTTGGAACTTCGGATGATGTACCCTGGGATTTGTTTTGGGACCGTCCGATCGTAGCTACAAATCTGACGTCCCATTGTCGGATCACCAACGAAGAACGGAAGTTCAATCACATGGGAAGATCCACAACGGTTTTAAGACAAACGTTGAAGACGAAACAGAACTATTCGATGCAGAAACACTAGGTTATTGTTAATGGTATGCCGGTTATCGTTCACTACTACAAATGATAACTTAAAAGTGCAAAAAATGTTAAAAAGTAAAAGATGTGTATCGATATTACACTGAAAACGCTGTCTCTTCCCAAGATCCGGAGAATTTGGGAGATGACTTGACCGAAACTAGGTTACAGAATCATCCCTCCGTGGGAAGTGCCTCCTCATGAGGATGAAGTGAAGGTGTATAGAATGTTCTTCTTGAGAGTGAACTCGTCGGCCTTAGTTGGGTTGACAGACTGCATCGACAAAAACAAAAGAAAATGTTAATGTCCATGTAGATCAGTAACTGTTGTATGCAGAGACGGTGTAGGTTTCTGTATTAACTTTGTTTTTTCAGCATACGAATTCATTTTTGCAATTCCAAGTTTCGGATCTTCATTGATATATCACCTCACACTAGACAATCCTATAACATATGAAGTCTCAGTCGAATCATGTAAGCTTAACCCCTTCGCTAAACAAGGCCTATGCATCTTGCTAGTACTGGAAAGAGTATAATCTAAGGTCAAACCTTTTCGAGTATGCGCCCAAGCCGCTGAATTTCATTCTTTGCATAATCAGGACCTTTCTCCAAAGAGTTCTTGGCAGCTTTCAAGTAGATCTTACCGTATCTGAAATTCAAACAGAACGAGAAGTTAACATCATGTGAATCAGAAGATCAACTGCAAAAGTACGGATCTAAAGGATCTAGTTAAGATCATCACTGAAAGATTCTTCGTTTTAAGTATGTGCAAGTATCATGTGATCAAACTAGAGAGTGTGTATCAACCTTGCAGCCGAACCCTCAAGTTTCCCAACTTCCTCTTCTATCTTGGAAAAGATTGCCTTCTTCTCATCGTTGCTAGATTTCACAAACTCCTTTACTAATTCGTCCAAATTTTCAAGAACGCCAGCCTACATAAACGAAGAACACTGATAAGAAAAGGACAAGATTTTGATAAAGTGCATTCACGATGAATTTAAGGTACTGACTTTGGAAGTAAGTTGTCCTTTTCCGTCTCTGCTGGTGCCAGATTTTTCATTAATGAACCCTACAAAATCCTCTAAATCTCTGCCGCCACCATACTCTTCGCCCTCCTTGTTGTTCTTTGGGAAAAATTTCAATGTGGGAAATCCACTAACTCCATACCTGCACAGGAAGCCTTGTGTTAGGTCCATTTATTCACCATTTATAAATCCCATTTCCTTCATTTTTCTATCTGAATCATTAAAATATACTACTAATTGAAAACAAAATATAGATTCAGTAGAGTACAACACACAATACTCAAATAAGGACCAGAAGTTCGTGGATACTATTAAACTACTAACTCACTTTTCAGCTAAATCCTTGTATTTGTCAGCATCAAGATTAGCAATCACTACACCGTCCTCCAAATTAAATGCTGAGGCAACCTTCTCATAAGTCTGGATAGAACACAAAATAAATAATCAAGATCAACCGTTGTTCAAGCACCAGATAAAGGGTTGCAATAACGGATTTGAAGGAGCAGGAATACACTTACAGGAGCAAGGGATTTGCAATGTCCACACCTGCCATGAAACGAAAAAGGGGGGAAAACATATTTAGAGTTGCAAAAGCACCAATAAAATTCCACTACGATTTATTGCAAACACGGTGGGATAAATATTGTATAATCCCCCTCTCCCTCTTGTACACCAATTTGGCTTTCATTGACTCAACAACCGACAAAACAGTATTCAATACTAAGCATTCAAAAGGAAAATTGAAGACATAATCTTACCATGGTGCATAGAACTCCACCAGCACATCTTTTGTTTCGTCCAGGACAACCTCATTAAAGTTATCCTGCGTAAGTACCACAACATGGGATGGGGCTACAGCAAGCTTCACATTGGTCCCTGCTTGCAAAGAAGAGCTTCATGATCAATCATAAGCTTAGGATTATTACGTAAATGGATGTGTATATTAGAATTGAACAAACTCAATCAACCAATAAATATCGACATATTTATTCAGTTTATTTTCAGTTGAATAACATTACAAGGTCAAAATAGTACCTCCTTCCTTATTCACAAACTCAGCAAGAGCTTCGGCAGTACGGCCACCTTCATACCTAAATCATGTAAAATTCAATCAGAAAAGGTAAACCAACATTACTAATACAAACAAGGATGGTGAAGGATATTACATTGTCAGAAATTTGGTTAGAGGGTTCGGTGGCAAGAGCACCCATTCAAAAGTAAAACAAATGCTTTCATGTAAACTAAGCAGGGGATAGGGGAAAACAGACTCACTTTTTGGGTTCTAGGGACCCTTTAGGAAACCATTGAATTGTCGGATAGCCGGAAACCCCATACTTTCCACAAACTCCCTTGTCCTCATCACAATCAACCTATTGAGAACCAGCAAATAAATTAAAAACAGTCAATTAATTGTAGTTGTAGACTCCTTGTATGTACTGCTGCAAGACACAAATCCAATAGCACGGTATATAATACAATTATCACAAACTACAATACGGACATCAGTAATATAAAACCTACCTTTGCAATTAAAATGGATTTTGCTTTCTTAAAACTTGAACCGAGCTTCTCATACTCTGGTGCAAGCTTCTTACAATGGCCACACCTGTAACGGGAAGTACGAATCATGCACACCATTAAAAGGAGCGAAATAAAAACTAAAGAAACGTATCCACTATATGCTTCCTGAAATATGGATAAGAAACGACAGGCAAAACAGAACGCATCCGGAGAAATGATGTTAGTCCAATACTAATCGAAAATCGACGAAAATTCACCATAGATACATATAACCCGCATACTTATTACCAAAAATTCCAATTATATATATCAGAAATATGTTGGAACACTTCTATCTTGCCTCGATCAATTATTCACCTTAGATCTAGAATCCTGGATTGCCTATTCGCAGATCTCCAATCAATCAATCAATCAATCTCAGCATCACCATAGCCGATACGATTGACCAATTCCGATTCATGTTTCGCAATTCGAGAAACTAAATTAACCGATTCAATTCAAATAATTTTCAATCCTGAACTTAATTCAACTAATCTCACACTAATTTGCATTCACGTCCTTCACCATTAACAATAAACAAGATCATCACAAAACCTCAGCAGCTAAATTTAGCGTTTTCCAAATCAAATCTCGGGAACCAAACAGCGTTGAAATTAGGAAAGCCTGAGATTACCAGGGAGCGTAGAACTCGACGAGAGCGGCGCGATCTTGACCGACCTCCTTCTCGAAGTTGTCCTCCGTGAGCACGACGACGTCGTCGGCGTAGACCGACGAGGCGAAGAGGAGCGCTAGGGCTCCGAAAGCGAACAGAGTCTTCGAGCTCGCCATCGTTTTCAAACTTTCTGAATAAAGTTGGTTGAATTGCGGTGTCCAGCTATTTTATACCCGCCTTTATTGGAATTTTATTATTTATTATTTCTCGACGGTATCATTTGGCAAATCAAGTTTCGCCACGTGTGCAAATGTAGTCACCGTTGGACTTTTTTTATTTATTATTTATTATTTCTCGACGGTATCATTTGGCAAATCAAGTTTCGCCACGTGTGCATATGTAATCAGCGCAAAAAAAGGAGGGGCGTTGCGAGAATCGAACTCACGACCTCTCGCACCCGAAGCGAGAATCATACCACTAGACCAAACGCCCGAGTTGGCAATGGACTGGAATTCATCACATTTGTAATACTACGATTTGAAAATCCTTGAACTTTTGAGCTCGTATTCCTCTCTGCCTTCTTTCGCTTCTTCTTCTTCTTCTTCCCTCTTTTCTTCAGAGCGTTGGAGATTCGACGCCTCTGCTGGTTAGCCCTCTTTCCAATCTCCACCTCCCAGAGATTCCCGAAATTTCAATTGCATCCGTCAAGGACCAAACTGCAAATTAGCTCAGAGATTGAATTGCGCATCCATGGCCGGCAATAATGTAAGTCCAGTTTCCCAAAAACCCTCACTTTCCATCACTGATGATTATTCAATTTCCTCGGTTGGCTGAACTTGTTGATTCCCAGTAGTTGAAAACTCATGGGAAATTTGTAATCTTTGGGTGATTAAATAATCAGAACTTGTTGATTCCCCATATGTTTGTGTAGGCTGCTGGAGTAGATAATACGTTCAGAAGGAAATTCGATCGAGAAGAGTTCTTGGAGCGAGCTCGTGAGCGTGAAAGACAGGTTTGCACCTCGAAAAGTCTCTTTCTTTTTGTTGGTTTGTAAGTTTGTAATATGTTTTTGAGTTTTTCCTCATCTGGGTGTTTTACAATGTGCTTTAGGAGGAGGAGGGAGGACCGCATAAATCCAAATGTGGGTTTGCTCAATCTTGTATTTCGGTATCTTTGCACTCTTAGAGTTGTTTTCTTTAGTACAAACTGAAATTATTGTTTGCGTTATGTGTGTAGCGAAAGGCCCGCCAGTGCAAAGGAAGCCATTGAAGCACCGGGATTATGAAGTGGATCTCAATTCTCGCTTGGGGAAAACACAGGTGAGCTTTTTATCGTTTCAAGTGCATAGTTCTAATTGGCTGAATTTTGCCCCGTTTGCTTTTAGATTGTTGATCTTTTCTTCGGTTTCCTGAAGAATGAGATTGTTTAAGTTAACTACTTATCGGCCTATGAATTAGCTTTTGTGAAGATGCTAATATCTTTTATTGTCATGGTTAACTGAGTAGAAGCTTTTCGATTTCTAGTGGCTGATATACCGCTGCTGTGTGCAAAGTTAACTTATTACATCTTGATGGAAAATCATCACTTTTGATGCAGTATGTTCACAGAATGATATATTTACTGTTAGAGTTGGTTTTCTGGTTTTGTGAATAGTTTGTAGCAGTAATTGCTGTCAACAACATAATTTTCGGTTTTGGTGTCTAGAAAATAAATGACACTATGAATTGGTGGCTGATATGAAGAAGCTACGGTTCTCTAGAACAATATAGATTTGGATTAAGCAAGTTTTATGGGTGATGTGTGGGTATTCCTATGTGGATAATACTTGCGTTCCTCCACAAGGGAATGCACATATCCCACTTCTTTCGAATAACGTATATTCACCACATAGATTTCATGATTGGAACCGTTCAATTTCTTAATTTTCATTTGAAGATCATGCCTACTAAAAATCATTTGAATTGGAGATCGTTTGGTCATCCAAATGTATGAAACAAATCGACGGTGTGAGTACCAAGTAACATATTCATGATGACCGGCCATTTATTTGATCCATATGGATGATTAAACGATTTCCATTTCAAATAATTTTGTCGCAAGGATGATCTTCAAAAGAAGATTATGAAATTGAATGGTTCCGATTATGGAGTTTATACGATGGAGATACATTATTCGCCAAAAGTGTAATTTATGCATTCCCCATTGGGGGAACACAAGTATTATTCTTCCTATGTTGCTTTACTTCAAAGAAAATTATAGTGGGATGTTTGCCTCTTTCAAATAGGAGTTTCTCATGTCCTGCCTGCTCTGTTGAGTTGCATCAGAACGATGCTGTTTCCCCCTCAATGAATTATCCATAGTATCTTTTAGTGGATATTTTGTTGCTTACAGATTTGACACTTGCTAACTAATTATTACAAGTTTCTTATCACTTTTTATCATTAACTTATTTATTCGTTGTATGTTTTTTCAGGTTGTTACTCCAATAGCACCTCTAAGCCAGCAGGTAAATATTTATCATTCAATATCCAGTTATGGAGTTTATGATTTGCGTTCTCACTGTTATCCTAAATTATTGTGTTTATTAATGTGCTTGTGCTTCTTCCTTTTTTGTTCAGATAGATTGTTTTAGCTTCTGTTCTCTAGACGATTACTGGAGATGCTTCACATTCTCTGTGTGGATGTATGAACAATGAATCCATACGTTTTGTTCCTAAATCATTACTGAGCTTACTTGGGATAGCCGAATTGTTGCCTAACCTTTTATTTTACTTTGATGTGATGGCTAACACTTATGACTGATTGCGGAATCATCCCTTATGTTGACTGTATTATAGACGGTTGGAAGACTGAAATATAGCAATTTAGAAACCACATTATAGCGGCCAGTCTTCTTACTACGGTAGCCAATTTGACTATGCTCACTAAAGGCTTTGTATTTCTGATCTCTTTCTTTCCCTCTCACCCTCGTCTCCCCTCCTCTTTAAAGTATATCCCCTCATTTGTTAGGCTGTGCAGCTTTCCTACAGAATCCTTATCTAGTGTAGGCCGAGTTACCGCATGTGAAGCCAGGATTTGGGTGCAATCATTGCCCTTCAATTATGTGAAAAACACATTAATGTATATGGTACTGTCTCTGTACGGTTATGAGTTGTTATTTTGTAGTCTTTTTATTTCAACATATTGTTCTGTTCTTTTTCAGGCTGGATACTATTGTTCGGTTTGTGAGTGTGTTGTAAAAGATTCTGCAAACTACTTGGATCATATCAATGGCAAGAAACGTATGTAATCCCCATCGGAATGATTATTATAAGAATTAATATATAAATATGTTTCTATTTTCATTATAATTATCTTTTGAATGGTTATTTTCTTTGTTGTAGATCAAAGAGCTTTGGGTATGTCTATGCGGGTGGAGCGGGCATCTCTCCAACAGGTAGAATTTGAATCCTTATTTTTGTGATCAAAATGGAAGTTCCTTTTTAAAATATTTTCCATGGGAATAAGCAAAACTAAGCATTGAATACAGGTTCAGGAACGATTTGAAAAGCTCAAGAAGCGGAAAACTGATGGCACTTTCACAGAGCAAGGTGAGACATTGAAGCAGTGAGATGTAAATCAATCCCTTCAGAGATTTTGGTCCCATAGTTCGCATTTAAGGTGCATCCTGTTCTGACGACTGATAAAAAAAAATGACATCTCTTCCTTCTCCCTCTCAGATCTTGATGAGCGGATCTTGAAGCAGCAGCAAGAAGAGGAAGAGCGGAAGCGCCAGCGTCGAGAAAGGAAGAAAGAGAAGAAGGTTGGTAAAAAAATGGGTTCCCTATTAATGTTTTTAAGGCAGAGATTGGAATCTCCAAATTTGTAGCGTTTGATATCTTTCTTGAATTATGTTGTACTACTAATTTACATAATATTTTGCAGCTGATATTTTTATGTCAACTGATTCTTTTAAATCTTCTTTCCTGGGTTCAGAAAGACAAGGTAGTCGAAGAGGAAACCGAAATTGATCCTGATGTTGCAGCTATGATGGGATTTGGTGGATTCGGTTCGACCAAGAAGTGATCATTTCATGCTAAGTTCAACTTTCACAGCTTCTTTTCGAATCTGAGTGATTTCTATATATATATTTGGTTCCTGAGTGACCCACTGTACCATACGAACCACTCAATTTAGGCGTTCGGACTTGTACACAACGTAGGTTCGTGGGAAAATGGAAGAGATTTTACGCAAAGATTCATAATGCATCTGGGTTTGATTCATCGTTGTTCTGGTATAGCATTTGAAGCTTGTCAATTTGTTTTAACGTTACCAGTCAATCACCGGTCATCTCGGTTCGGTAATTCTAACTCCGAACCGAGGCAATCGCCGGTCATCTTACACAATATCGAATGAAGAATAACATGTTACAAACCACAACGTACAAGATCTTTAGTCGTAGCAGCAATCTATGATTGTTCTTGATGTGTTAAGGCCAAGTGCCTTCCCCTAGAGATGTTTCAGATGGTTGAAGTATTTTTTTTTCAGTGACTTGATTTTCTCCCACCCTTTTTAGCTTTTTACGCACTCATCTTTATTTATGACCATTGGATTGAATAAATCAAATAGAATCGACGGTCAAAATTAACAGGGAGGTGTGAAAAACTAAACGTGTGTGAAATTTGGATTAATTAACTTGATGTATTTTACTTCGACTGCTCGATCTTTTCATACAAGATAACTTCAGTCATGGCTTCTGAGAAATTTGGATTCTCATGCAAGAACCTTCGCCTGTTCTTGCCAGGAAACCACATCCCTTTCTTCCAATCCAGATGAGGCCTCAAGTGAGTAGCCGGATAAGCAAAGTGTTCCGACGTTGTTTCGAAGAACACGGCGCAGAAACCGCCCTTCTCCCCGGTGACGACCCCTGTCCACCACCCGTCGTTGTCGTACGCATCCACCAAACCCCCGAAACCAAACTTTTGGTTGTTTGCAGATGAGCCGCTTGGGCTTGAAGGTAGGGTTTTGTTCGGGTGCGGAGGGCGGACTTCGTGAGCCATGACGGTTTCTTTGTAGAGCGTGCGCTCGTCATCCTCCAACAGCTCCTTGTACTCGACAACGTAGTTGTCCCCCATGTTGGCTACAACCCTAGCTGCGAAGTACGATCCGATGAACCCCTCCTCCTTGCTTAACACTTCAACCTCGCTGTTTGTTTCGAACCACCTTTCGGGGCAGAACTCAGTCGGATCGGAGGGTTGGGAGTGAGATGAGGAAGCAGAAGGACGAGAGTTCGTCGTGTTTTTACGACGTTGGATCGCACTGGAAGGCCCCATTGCAGATGATTTGTAAGTGAAAGAAAGGAAGTAGAAGAACGAGAGCTGATTAACTAGTTGCTGCCAAGGATGAGAGAGTTGATGAGTGCCTTGTTTGTATATATAGAGTCCTCTTCTGTTTGGGAAATTTTGCTTTCCTATTCAGCCCACCTAAAGTGTTACTTTTACGAATTTCTCGCACTTATAAACAGACCTGTAAATGAATCGGATTTGGACTAGATTATTTTAAATTGAAGTGCTAAGTAAAATAATCTGGCCAGATAATCCAACCGATGTTTAATAAGAAAATCCATATATTGATTTGTTAAGTTAACGAGTATCTGATTCGATAACACGATATGATTTCTTAAGCATGTTTTTTCAATAAACCATAAAAAAAAATTTGTTTTCTTAATCAACAATATACTTTCTAAAAAGTTAAGATAACTCTATATATTTGAATGCCAAGTCAGATTGGAACATTATCAATCGGATTAGTTCAAATTCATATTTGCTTTGTTAAGCTAACGGATTTTCAAATTCATATTTGCTTAAGCCAACGGAGTTTCATATTCTATTAATTACATCGAATTCAGATTAAAATCGGGTCAAATGATTCATTAACACGTACTTTTACAAATCTAACCCAATCATAGCACTATAAAAAAAAAACAACAAATTTAAGTGTCGCTGTCCCAAATTTAAGTGGTCTAGACAAAGAACAGATGTGTGTATATAGGACGGATCCGTTACACCACCTGTTTACACAACTTTTGACACGTGTTTATGAGCCACTTCGTAATGTAATTCAACAATCCAAACCGTCTATCTTTTAGGTCTTCAAAGATCATGTCTAACAAAAATCACCCATTATGGGCGTGGGGCAAGAGAAGAGGGTCGAACATATAATTTTGTTGCCGGTTTCACAAGAACGTGAACTATCAAATACCATTTGCTCATCATAAAGAAAAGAGGCAAAAATATCTCCAACAATAAAAAAAGCTTGAATAAATCGGAAACAACAAAAAGCGAGAAGCCTAGTCTTTACTACTTAATGTACTGAGAAAGCCACTGGAAGCCATCGCCATAACCCATTTTGCGAACGATACTGCACATGAAGACCTCGAGGGGACGGACATTCGAGTCTTGCAAGTTTACTTTGCCCTTGCCGGTGGTGAAGTTGTTCAGACCGAGGTGGAAGCGCAACTCTTCTTCTGAGGCCGCATATGGTATGTCGATCTTGTTTCCCAGAACAAGGAATGGAACAGCGGCCAATGACTCATCAGAGAGGAGAGCATCCAGCTCCTTTTTCGATTCTGCAAATCGTTCCTTATCGTAAGCATCCACCAGGTAAACAACTGCATCCACCTTTGCACAACAAATACAAAATGCATTACCAAGGATGAAACGTCGAGATAACATTTCTTTTTCGATCAAGAAAACATAGGGATAAAGTAACTCGAAGCAGCAAGACAAAACTTGCATAGCTTGAAACTTACACTCAATTTCTTAGGCAATTCCAAATCTCAAAATTCTTTCCAATTACAGATTCCAAAATATAGTCTAGTATATAACCAGATGAATTCTTATTCTCTCAATAGGACCTATTCGGGAGCTTTCGCACTTCACCACTATAAATCCCAGCCATCCGTATATGGTTAAAATACATCAACGTAAATCATATACAATCTACGGGGTGAAAAACACACGTGATTTAAGGACCTTATTGGAGATCAAATCAATATATAACACATCTAACTACATCTCCCAGGTTCTACTGTGCACTTTTTCCCTAGCAAATAGAAGTCCTTCACAGGGGTTGAAAAGAAACAAGGTGATCTCAGAATATAGCAGTCGACATGAAAGGTTTATCCCCACTTCTGATCAGACATCTGCATTTTGTTAATCTAGATAGCGAAACTGCAAAGCAAAGGATGAATGTGTGGTAAGGTACTATTAGCATACCTTGTAAAGACATAAGGTGCTATCAGCGAACTACCACTATTTATATCTGCGCCCCATGCGCCCCATGAATCAGGTAAACACAAAAACTTTTATCTGGGATTACGGAAGCATAACTATTCCAAAACTTTACTACACGCATGTGTCAAGAGATGATCATACGGCAGCTATTCTTGCAGGCGAATGCTGCTCGCTAAGTACACACAAACCACATAATTTTCATAAGAAAAAGAAAAGGCCTCAAGCAGTTCATATATGCAGAAGGCAGTTGCCACATCACATGCATACAATACATCCTTAAGTTAAAACATGAATGATACCTTGGCATAGTAATCTTTCCAAACTCTGCGAGCAATCTGATGCCCGCCCAAATCAAAAGCCTTGAACTTGATTTTCCCAATGCTTAACTCCTCGGACGTCGGATACTGCGTCGGTTGGTGTTGAACTAATCTCTGCAACAATCCAGCAACAGCAAAACCCACAGTCAGAAAATCAAATTCCCAGCTACTTATCACAATAAATCAAAACAATGACAACGGTAAACTGGTTTATTCATTTTCTCTCCTTCCAAAGATTACAATTTCAGTGAGTCAATATTGTCTTAACCTGAATTCTTCATTAACCAATTGACGCAGAGCTCCTAATGTGGAAAAATCATAGGAATTATAGGAAGGAAAGGAAAAGTTTTTCAATTGAATAACAACAATTAACAACTACATTCTCAAAACTATTAACTTCAGTCCATATTTTCTTTTCCTTCACTTTCCCATCAACCAAACAGACCCCACACTGATAAAGCATAAAACAAAAACGAAAATTTCAATTGAAACCAAAATACCAATCATTCCAATACCATTGAAGCATTCAAAGATCATAACTTTCAACGCATTTGTAAGCACCCAAAACCCACCAACAAAAGTTGTTAAAAATCGGATTAAAATGATGGGATTGGAAGAAAGACCTCATCTTTGAGCATATGAAGCAACGTCGTCTTGCCGGCATTGTCGAGACCCAAAAACAAGATCTTCGCCTCCTTCTGCCACAAACCGAGCGATGCAAGAACCCCGTAGAACCAATCCAACAAGAACATGGTGTTCGTCAGATCGAAAGCCTCCCCCGAAATCAGAGAGACGGACAAATAGCTAGAGAGAGTTATGTGGAACTGTTACTGGGTTTGGTCCGATCGGACGGCTCCTTAGGGCTATTGTCGGCCGTTAGATTGTAAATTTCGAACAGCTGGAGTCTGATTTTTTTTAGTGTGGTTGAGTCTATATTAAATGTATGAACTCTAACAAACAACCAATTAAAACATAATATTTAATTGAGGTATGGTTTTGATTTCGGGACAATTTTCAAAAGTCAAAATCGAAACCAAACCGCTTCCTACATTTCTGTTCGGTTTCAAAACCGCAATACCAAACAATTCGTTGTGGTCCGATTTGATTCGTGTTCTTGTTTCGATTTTGGTTTTCGGTTTCAAATGTCCACCGTTAATTGTTAACAAATCTAAATACCAGTACTATCGATTTCAAATCACATGAACTAATACAAAGACTGGTACCGAAAAGTGCTTGTTTTTATATAAAGAAGCAAAGTGGACCAAACTTTAACCTTTATGTCAAGTGAACTGAGATATTATATTAAATACTCAAATCTTATCCAAACTCCAGAATCCAGATAATCTTCAACCCTAAACCGGCACACCGTCTCAGAAAACCACGAACCACACAAAAGCCCAAACCCACAAACCGCCCACAGTAATTTCCCACCCATCTTTTTACTACATATACCCACTTCACTTTCCTCTGTTCCATCAACCGAGCTCCCTCCAAAAACCACTTCCGAAAATCTCTCAAACCGTTTTCAAATTGCAACCGTCCGATCGATTAATCATGACTGACGTGGCAGAAGGCGAACGGAGGATCCTCGTGGCCGTCGACGAAGGCGAGGAGAGCATGTATGCGCTGTCGTGGTGCCTGAAGAACATCGTTGCCCAAAATTCCAAAGATACCCTTATCCTACTCTACGCCAAGCCCCCGCGAGCAGTGTTCACCGCTCTGGACGGCACAGGTAGGAGGAGAGAGAGGACCCATCCGGTATTTTGTCACAACATTGAGGTTATTTTGGGAAAGAAGATTCAGTGGTTTTTTTTGTAATTTTCTTGTGAAACAGGGTATTTGTTTTCGTCTGAGACTTGGGCGGCAATGGAGAAGTACGCTGCTGATGTGGCGGACTGCGTGATGGAGAAGGCCAAGAAGACGTGCAGGGACCTCCGTCAGGATGTAAGTGTCAGAATATTGATCTTGTGAGGGTAAAATCGTCATTTGGTTTTTTTATTTTTCATGTGACGTTTTCGCCCCTGATCCAGGTTAAGGTGGAGACGAAAGTGGAGAATGGAGATCCGAGGGATGTCATTTGCCAGATGGCAGAGAAGCTTCGTGCTGACGTGTTGGTCGTGGGAAGCCACGGCTACGGCGGCATCAAAAGGTGGGTCCCAATTTACATTGACAATATGAAGATTGGAGATACTAAGGTCTGGTTTGGGTTGGTTTGGTGGTGATTCTTAATAAAATTGGTATAAAAAAAAGTTAGGGGTTTTATGTGTTTGATAAATATTTAGTTTCAGCTTTTTTTTTTTTTATAGTTTTGGATGAAAAAAAAAGTTACAAACAAGAAGCTACAAAATTCAGCAGTTTTTTTTCACTTCTTTTTTACATAAAAATTTACCAACTATTATAATATTGTTTTTTTTATCAAAAAACATTTTTACAAAAAAATTTACCAAACACTTTACAATTTTATTTTATAGCCGTTTATTCTCACATCACAACTGAAGTTTTTTTTTTTTTTTCTTCAAAGTATACCAAACCCCCTAAACAAGGTCTACGTCTCACGTTACTCGACCGTCCAATACACGATTTCAAAATCTATCTATTCGGGTCACAAAAAATGTGCCCATTTAGAATTGAATGTTTGTGCCTTGGACGGACAGTAACACGAAGGCCTTTACACATGGCACATGGTGTGAGATTGGTTAATAAACCTTGGTATGACAATTTTTATCCAAGGAAGAATGAAGCTTTTGGTATAGGATAACGCTTTTTAAATTTTAAATTAAATGATGTCTTACAATAAGAAATAAGTATCTTAATTAACATCTAAGTAATAATTCAATCATCAATAACCACATCATTTAATTTACGTATTTAGTATAAAATTTTAATCTCCGTAATTTGCAGGGCTTTCCTTGGGAGCGTGAGCAATCACTGTGCACAGAATGTCAATTGTCCCGTCTTGATTGTCAAGAAGCCAAAAACAAATGCCGGGAGCAAAAGCCAATAATTGTGTTTGGTGAAGGGTGCTGGCTAGTGAAGAAAAACAATCGTTTGTATTTGACTGTTTAAGCTTTGGGTGCGCTCGAGGCTTCTCTTTGAATGCATCGTTAAGAAAATTATGCATGTATATGTAAAATTTTGTGTTTGCCGTCTTTTCACATATGTGAATTAGATCAATTTTGGAGGTATTGCACTTAGCCATGTTTTTATACTCAGTGATTTATAACATTAATTGTGCGTGCTGCCTTCTTCATCCAAGTTCGAAGTTTTGCACTCTTCTTCTCGTAGATTAAAGTAATTTGGAACATAGTATGGTTACCAGAAAACCATGATTGGAAAAAGCTACATTCATTCGTGGACAAAAAAAATAAAAAATAAAAACAAAAAACAAAAAACAAAAATCCAAAATATTTTCAACTTTTGAGAAGCTTCTTCAAGCCCTTGATCATGAAAGAAAGTCAACTTTACGAGATCCCTATAAATTAAGAAATTGAGTTTCATTCCGTATCTTTGTGTCTGGAATCTTAGATCGAGAAGTATGGACCATTCAATTTCAATCATCCTGCCTTTAATAGCTCATTCTACTGGTTCACTTCATAAAAATCCAAAAACTTAAATGTCTCGGATCTCTGTCTCTCTCTTTTGAATGGTTTAATTCTCTCGGTCTGTGAGCTTCGAACACAAAGATCTAGAGTTTATCTCATTCCTGAATTAAGCATGCCTTAGGGATATTAAGTACCACGAGTGTTTTAACGTGTCGCGTCACTTTTAACTTGCAACGACGGTCCATTGGACCATTGATATCATATATATAGTTGTACTGGCTTCAATTCATGCTTAATCCGATTACACATTGTCACTGTGTATCAATTTATGCCTCTTTCCAAGGACATGCTCGAATCTCCATCCCAGTGAGAGACGAGACTGTAACTGTTGCCAAAATTGTTGGAAATTGGGTGGATTGCAACAACAAGAAGAGAGTTTTTCACGTCGACGGAAATCCGGTGGATTGCAGGAAGAGAGTGCGGGTTGATGAAAGGGTTGTGGACAGCTACAAGAAGTACGAAATTGATCATATTGCTTGTACTAAAGGAAAAATAACATAGTTATAAAACGATACATAGTTTTGTTAATCTTTAAACCAATGATTCTGAAACAGTTGATCATTTAGCGTATAATCCACATGAGGTTCATATCACTCAACGATAGTTTCGAAATTTACAGAGACTTCTGTGTGTCGCGACAACTAAAGCTCAGCAAGAGAGAAGACATGGCCGGAGGCAGTCTTGACACAAGCTACAATAGTTTACCCAAAAACTTCAGCAACCTTCTCCCAAGTCTGTTGAGTCATATCGTCGTTACACTTGTACAAAACAAGGCGTCTCATCGTGAAACGGAGACCAACGATGCCACCATCAAGAGCAAGAACTTTTTCCTTAGCCTTTTGCTTCTCTTCGTCGGTCAGATGCCCATAGAGGAGGCTCAAATGTGGCATAGGACCTGCATTGATACAATTCGTTGCAACCCAATGGAATAATCGTTAGTTATAAAGCAATAAAAAAAGGGAACTTTAACGAAAAGCATCCGGTACTGTTCACTTCAACGAAAAACCACATTTTTACACTAAAAAGTCAATCCTGGTACTATTCACTTTACCCTTTATTTTGTCCTTATCATTAAAACTCAAAGTTTTCAAGCCCTTTTCATTAGTTTTCCTATAAAAATATGCAAGCAGTCTAATATCTTAATGGATAGAATTTTGGTTTCCACCCATGCATCTCGAGTTCAAAACTTCTCATCTCCTAAATTATATTGAAGTGCTAATAACAATTCCCTTGTCAATTCTCAATTCATTAGTGCTCAGCACCAAACCTTAACAAAAATTGCAGTCAATGAAATGGCAATCTACAAAACCCTATGGAATATATCTTTAGACAAAAGAGTTCCTTTTGTTGGTTCTTCAAAGCAAATGCATATCAACTTAAGAGTTCTGGTTATGGTCGCTCACTCTTAGATTTGATATGGTGTAGAAATTAAAACACTTAAAACGGTTCATGTAGGGTTAGTTTGGAAAGTGCTTTTAAATGATTGAAAACGCTTTTAGAGAAAATATGTTTTTAAAACTCAAAAAACATCTACTCTAAAAGTGTTTTCAATCAATTAAAGTAATTTCCAAACGAGTCATTTTTCTCCGCCCTTTATATCAAATTTAAAAGTGAATCACCGTACATCTCCTACTGCATAATGTTACACCTATCACATTTTTCATATCACATTCGTATAATTTCTTTAATAGAAGTAGGGTCCACTAACACATATGAATTTCATCTCTATTAAAAGATAGTACATATACAATACGAAAAATATAATAAAAATAGCATTTTTGTTTCTACTCACTTAATGATCAAGATAATATTTTGATTCACGACAACAAGTTGAGCACTTCTCGAGAAAAACTCACATTTAACGAGTGTATACATTATCATCTCTCTCACAACAAACATTCATGTGATATAGAACAAAACTTGTAAAAATTCTGCATGAAGTTTTTATTAATTTTGAATCAATAATTTGTATGGGAAGGCAGATTGATCTTACCGAAGCGTCCAAATCTCCCAGCCACGTTCCTCATATGAATTACCTAAGAAAGAAATTAATCGACTACAATCACATAACTAATAACTCTCAATCTAAAAAAGAGATAATTGTTCTTGATCAAACAGGTTACAACAAGTGTGCTCATTTGCAGTTAAGTTTGAATCTATTTTTTTCGTAATATAAAGGAATTTAATATAGAATATCAAATGTAACAATATTTAAAACATCAATACATGTGGAAATACCGATATGCAAATTTATAAAAATATCGATGGATATATCGCTATCGATTTGCAATAGAGTGAGTATATCAACTTATTCAGATTTAGCCAAAATTAGAGAAAATTTCTCAAAAAAAAATTTTCAAAAGTTCGAAATCTACAATGAATTATGACAAAATTTATGTAGTAAATCGGTAAACATCATCGATATTCGTTAATTTTACTATATCTGCATAGGGTGAAGTTTTTATTTCATCACCTTTACAATATCCATCTTAATTTTACGGACATTTGAACGAAAATATTGACAAATTGGTTGATATTTTAAACACCGATATTATATATAATAAAATAAAAAAAACAAGAGAAGATTGATAAAATTTGAGTGAATAAACGAATAGAATGAAACCTCGGGATCGATGAAGAGGTAAACGCACTGGTAATAGAATGCACATGGACTGGTATTCACGCGCTCAATTTTACAATCGTAACTGACTCCCGTACATATCTCTCTGAACTTCTTCACGATGGACTCGTGATCCGAGTGGATCGACACCATAATCGGAATGTGGGGTCGGATCTCCGGCCCACCAAATTCTTCGCGAAGACCGTCCATCACCTTCTTGATCCTCTCCGACACATCATCCGGTGGGACGGCCCATATGGCATACTTGTGCACTCGCGGCTTATCTGGCATGGTGAGAAAAACGAAGAAGATGGATGATTGGTTTTGCAGCGTTTAGGTTAATTGGGAATTGGGGATTATATTGCGGTTGGTGATCAATTTTGGAAATGATCGTTCTATTTTTTTTTTTTTAAACAAACATGGGGTTAGACTCATAATGAGATAGTAATAATGTTGTTTAAATTCGTTTTTGACGAGAATAAAACTTCGCACCACTAAACCGTAATACTAAGTATGCGTTCTATTTGAAGCTCAGCATTTTTTTTAATACCCAATTTTTAATAAAATAGTTCTTTCCACACCCAAATTTTGTCTTGGACGGTCATCAACCTTTTATCCATGCATAAAATCAGGGCTATAAAAAAAATGAAAACTAGTGAAAAGGGTTTGAAAACTTTGAGTTTTAACGAAAATGACAAAATAAAAGGTAAAATAAATAGTACCAAGATTGACATTTTAGTATAAAAATGTGGTTTTTCGTTAAAATAAACAGTACCATGACTTTTTCGTTAAAATTCTTAAAAAAAAAGAAATCCGACCCAAAAAAATTATCTAATCATTCAGTAACCAAAATCGAAAAATTCTTGAAAAAGTTTGGTACAGGTGTTGGGATCATAGATCAGTAATATCGAACCGAATTTTATGATTATATAATTTAAATTTTAAATATATAACATATAAGATTATAAATTATTATAGTCGTCGGATTGATTGAGATTTAATCTCAACCGCTCAATTAAATTCAACTCTGTCTCTCTCTCTCTCGACCTCACCTCAGTCCTCCTTTCTCTCTCCCGACTCAACGACTCCGCCCATTATCGATCTAAATTCAAGACAATGAATCGTTTCATCTAATTTCACTCTAATGTTGGAAAAACCAAAAACACCAAGAGAGCGTAAACTTGGCAACCAATCTAATTTGGAAATCCCATGAGGATTTTCTTAGCAATGTAAACCGCAGGGACCATTTTAGCATTCAAGCCAAAATATAAACAACGAAAATATTGAATTCGACAGAAAAATTCAAAGAGTACTCGGTTTAAACTAATCTCATGTGATTATGAAAAAGAACAAACACATCTCATCGTTTTTGTTCACATGGATCAAATAGCTAAATGAGAGATTAAGAAATCAGCAACATTCAACATTTAGCAGTATCTCTTTCCTCTAACACTTCTACAGCTAAAAAATAACGAAGAAAAAAATGGAGCACTTGACGCCGAAGCTTTTCTCCAGAACTCTTCGGTGCTTCCCTTCCTACAGTTCGTCCTGAAAACACAAAGCACAAGGCGCATCAATCAGTAAACAGACTAGTTGTATGGTTGGTAAACCGAAAAAGGAAGAAAACCTACATGTTTCTCAGCCTCCTCGGCGCTCTCTTCAGTTGAGTCTGGTTTAGATTCGGCGTCAGAGTCATCTTCCGCATCATCGGCGTCAGCATCATCTTCTTCCTCGGCCTGAATAACACAGAGAAGCGGTTAGGGACCGCAGAAAAAGATGATGGCTAATAAATTCTCAGGTGTAAGTTTTGTATGCTTACATCAGAATCAACTGGGTCTTTTGCTTCCTGGCAAAAGGATTAAGGCAACAAGTTAATAAGAACGAAAAGCACAAGATTAATAATAGTGTGAATAATTTTGGACTACGTGAATAAACATTAGAGGGAAAAGAGTAGTACCTCCTCCTGCAGTTTCTCTGCTTCCTCGAATGCTGCCTTCTCAGCCTGAGATTGCACGAAACTCAATCAGACATGTTAAAAGAATACTGTTAGAAATAGCTACGGAAAAAGGTATGCTAGATGACATACATCTTTTTGTTTTCCCCACGTTTCGTCAGCCAGCTGCTTTGCATACTCCGGGTCTTCAGCGATCAAGATATTGTCAAACAGGGTTCCAGATTTCACCTAGGACATTCCACATCTTGCTTATCGGACTTTGATTACTGAGGGAACTAAAATAGAAAACTGGAGGAAAGGTAACAGACAATATTACCTGCCACAATTCGATTCCGACATACTTCAAGTTGGGGTAAACATACAGCTCAGGGTCATCCTTGAACTTTGGGTTGTCAATGAGTGGTGCCTTCCACTTTCCCTTGAAGTTGGGGTTCTTGATTTTCTGCATAGTGGGGGACAAAAATTATGACAGAGCACTTAAAAGTTACCTTTCAAGATATTATTCAAACCTGAATTCCACAAACCTTTGGCTTCCATTCACCCTTGTATTCGGGGTTGGGAATGGTTGGGGCAGTCCATTCACCATCTTCCTCATCATCCCAATCTTCCGGCTGAAACACCAAATCACGTTAGTGAGCAACAGAAATACTCTTCCGTGCATGTGTAGTATTTTGCAAACCCACGTCAAATCATTACCTTCTTGGCTTCGGGATCTACTATCTCCTTGGGAATGTCATCATAACCCTACAAACAGACAATGAGAGTCAGCATGCTTGTATATTAAGTAGTTAAAAAGAATAAGCATAGATGATTTGTATATAAAATGCGTGACTACCTCTGGCTTAGTATCTTCGGGGTCAGGAATGTATTCTTTGTCATCCCAATCTTCAGGCTGTCGATATCAGATGGTTAGTTAATCACCACTTCAGTTATGAATAGTTTACTGATATCTCAAGAGTTCAATTATAGATACATACTTTCTTGGCCTCGGGATCCTTGATTTTCTTTGGAGGCAGAAGATCCCAATCACTGTAGAGGCTGCCAGTTTGTTTCTCTACATTGTCAATAAGGATGCTGTAGGTAGCATCTGGGCGGAGGATAAAGGTATAAACATGAGTAAGCTGATCAGTCTCACAAGGGACGTCCTTCTTGATCAAGTTATTTGTGTTATTGTAGTTAAGAATTGCGTGAACTTTCTTGGTGCTGTATCCACAGATATCTGGCCCAAACATGATACTGCAAACCATAAAAGTTTATATACCATGTCAGAAATTATTAAATGAGGTAAACAGATTGACGCAAAGATAACAAAACAGTCAGATCAAATGGGAATATCACTTGCCTGTATGGGGTATCACCGCCAAATTTCTTCTGATCAACATCACCGCTGAGTAACTTGATGTAGCCACCACCACAGTCAAGCTTCTGCTCATGTTTCACGGAAAATTGGAACACTAGTGTCTTGTCCTTGTTGCTGAATTCAGGGAACTCAGCTGAAATGGCATAAAACCTATAATCCTCACTTGTTTGGATGCCTGTACCAAGATGTTAAAGTCATCGAAACTGGTCATCAGGACGATCTTCACAATATAAAAAATCAAGCAAGGAACACAGTAAAAAATCTGCAGATAACATAAATACAAGAGACATAATTGGTTATGAACAGATACCCTTGTCATTAGCATCTCCATTCCATTTGCCAGAGGTGTAGTTCCATTCTCCAGCAAGGCTCTCATCTCTCTTCCAGTCAGATTTAACCCAACGTTTATCCCATCCGTCTTTTAGTATTTGACAAATAGCACAAGAAACACGAGAAAACAGATTCAGAACAATAGAACAACAAAAAAGATCACTGGAAACAGTAAAAAGTAAAGAACCAGAGAAGTCAACATGTTAAATGTACAAGAGAAGTAAGCTTCTTCACTTTTTAAAGACCCTTTTAATGCTACTTGACCTACACATGATACCATTTGACATTCTACGCCTGCCCCACTTTGACTACTACTGTATCAGGCAAAAATTTGTGCCTTTTCGAGCTCCTACCAATCAAACTCTGTCAACATTGCAACATCACTAATAATTGACAAGTTCAACTGCAGAAAGAAACGAGTCTCGAGCCAACCAATGGATTTAGCAACAAAAGAATATCAATTTAACGGAACGGAAGAGATTTAGCTTTAATTCTGTTCAAAATCATATACGAGCTTAACAACCTGTGACACTACAGATTGAAAACAGAGAATGCAACATCTTTGAACTGAAATTGGACTGGAAACCTTACAATTATTGATTTTTTTCTTCTATTCAACACCATTTATCGATTCTAACAAAACCCTAAACCCTATTTTTGTAATTTACAAACACTTCACTGACCACATTTATCATATACGCACACAGATATATCAATACCCAAAGATTTCCATTCGAAAACATAACCGAAACCACAAATCAAGCTGAAAATTCAAACTTTAATCAAGTTTCTAGCAGATCCAATTGAAAACCGTCAATTAAGCTCACACTAACAGTATTCATAAAACATTAACCACCAACACAATCAGATCGAATCGCAGACTAATAACCAACACCGATCCTCCAGAAATGACATCTGATTCAACTCAATTACCGCACACAAAGCCTCTAAAACCCTAATCAATTGAAAATGCAACCAAAAACCGATGACATCAAATGATCCGTACACCTATAGATACAGAGTGAGAGACAGAGAGAGAGATGTATGTATACCTTCGAACCGTTCTTCGAAGAAAACCTTGGCGGAGGCGATGGCGAGGAGAGAGAGAAGGACCAGGGGCAGCAAGCTCGAGTTGGTTCGAACCCTAAACGCCATCGTTTTCCGCACCGAGAGAGTCTGCAGCTACAGAGACTGATGAGGAAGCTCGATCCCTGCAGGGCTGTTATATATAACAATCGGTTTTCACAGCAGTAGTTTTTATCTTGGGGTAAGAGTCCTCGCTGGAAGACGGTACCAATAGAAACTCGCCACGTGGTTTCGTCTTGTCATTGGCGTGAGGTGGCGGGATCTTATTGGTCCCTCACTGAAGTTTGCGCTGCAGCAACTGGGTGCGCCACGTGGGTTGGAGGAATCGAGTGGGAGTTTACGGAAATGCCTTAGTTTGGTTACTTTGTAACGAGTAAATGTAGCAATGGTCCATCAACTTTAACTTAATTAGAGCAATGGTCATTCAATTAAAAATTTATTATCATTGGTCATTTAACTCATCGAAATGTGCGGCTATAGTCCCTCAACTCAAAATTCATTACCAATGGTCCCTCAACTTTAATTCAATTAGAGAAATTGTCCCTCAACTTTAACCAAATTGGAGAAATGGTCCCTCAACTTTAACCCAATTGTAGCAATGATCCTTCCAACATAACTCATTTTGACAAAATTTTGACGAAGTTGACAAAAATAACCATAGCTACACGTTTTGATAAGTTAAGGGATCAATGATAATAGATTTTTAGTTAAGAAACCAATGATAATGAATTTTTAGTTGAGAAACTATTGCTCTAATTTAATTAAAGTTGAGGACCATTACTACAATTTACTCATTTGTAAAAGGTCTGTGAGGAATATTAATGACATTATCTTTAAATTTAATTAAATGAAATTTGGCCACTAAAAAAAAGAAAAATTTAAAGGAAAACTAATGAAAAGGGTTTGAAAACTTTGAGTTTTAATAATAAAAACAAAATATAGGGTAAAGTGAATAGTACCAGGATTGACTTTTTGGTGTAAAAATGTGGTTTTTTGTTAAAATGAACAGTACCGGGTGCTTTTCGTTAAAATTCCCAAAATTTAATGTGCCACACACACAGTCCTATACATTAAGTATTATAATATAAGTAGTTGGAAATTTTATTTTTTATATATCCAACCATTTGTGTTTTGACACTTAAGATTCGATTGGTGAGCTGAATGAGATTGAGTTTTAGGGATAAGATTGGATTGACAAACATTGATTAGGCTTTGTAAACAGGACTTGTAACCCGTGTATAATATTGGTTAGATAACATACACTATTGTGAATTAATAACCTATCATGTTCAGTCCTGTCAATCTGACATCTCTATTTTAATTGATTACAACTTATCTCAATCGGGCCAGCAAACAGACCCTTAAGGCCATCTCCAACCGAAGGCTGGCCAGAGGGCTCGTTTGAGCCCTCTGGCCCTCCAAGATTCCCCAAGATATTAATATTTTAATGAACAGTACAGGGCCATATTTGCCTCCGTCTCCAACCGAGGGCCAGAGGGCCAAAGGGCTCGTTTTAGCCCTGTCACAAAAAACCGTCTCCAACCGAGGGCCAAAGGGCCATAGGGCCAAACATAATTTATTATTTAAAAACTACAATTTAATGTTGTATAAATGGCCTAGGAAGTTATACGAAAAAAATAGAATTGAAAAAAAATATGAAACAAATTTTGTGAAATAGAAGTTATAGGAAAAAAAATATGAAACAAAATTTGATTCATATGAAAAGGAAAAAAAAGGGAAAAAAAGAAGTTTAAATTCATTAAAAAAAAAAAAAAAAAAAAAAAGAGGCCTAATAATCCAACGGCTACTAGCCGTTATATTAAAAAACATTTCAAACTATTAGTGTCGGTTATAACTGACACTAATAGTAGAACTATTAAAAAAAAAATAAGCCAGCCCTCCAGCCCTCTCCGATCCCGTGGGGCCCTCCCAGATTCCAGAGCCCTCTGGCCTAGCCCTCGGTTGGAGACAGTTTTAGGGCTATTTTCGGCCCTCTGGCCCTCTGGACCCTTCGGTTGGAGATGGCCTAATGTACTGAGCCATGTCCCATCACGCTGAAAAATCTTTTATTTAGAAACATCTTAATACTTAATAGGAGGAGACTAGGATTGGGTTAAACAAATCACAAATTATGATTAAACTTTTGTATTGTTTGACAATGTCTTTGGACTATCCAATTTTATTATTATCGTACAACATCGTAATTTGACAAAATCAAAGTCTTACGTTTCCACACTGGAATATTCAAGCCTGGATCAGAATTCATTGAATTTGTATTTGTATGTAACATTTCTCCAAGTTATTGTGTTAGAATATGAATTAATATGGTCACGGTTTGCAGTTTGAAATGCTGAATTGTTTCTTAAAAGAAAATTATTATAGTTAGCTCATTGTAAAATTTGTAAAAGTCACCATATCTTAAATGCGATTGATATTCAAATAAGCTAGCGTAAACAACTATCGAAAAGAAAAAGTATTATGGAAATATAAAGAAAAATAAATGGATGATTTGTCGTAAAGCTAACTTTGAGATTGGGTGAGAGAGAGACGATAAAGTAAGTAGCTTCGTTTTTTATACAATCACATTCCTAAATAAACACACTAATGACAACAATCTAATTTTTATAAATTGAAGAAAAAGTAAGTAGCTTCGTTTTTTAACTCCATCCTCATGAAAAAGATAAGAAAAAATTTTCACCAAAAAAAGAAAAGAAAAGAAAAGCTCAACATATGGATTGTTCAAACTTGACTACTGTTATACCTTAGCTCTAATAATGTGTGCTGCTTAATTGTTTGTGCGTCTTTTGTCCGCTGTAAGTTACATTTTTTTTTTATATAAGTAGTATTAAGATAGCGGGAAGTTTGAGCTTGAAATATCAAATGTAAAAGTAAATGCTCTTAATCGACTGAACTATGATTGCTTTTGTAGTTTACCCACTTTAGGCTTGAAGGTTTATCTAATGAACTTGTTACTTTTGATTTAAAAAAGAAAGCTTTCCCATATGGATATTACTAAAAATAGTGGGATTGTGACCTTGCTAAGGACAAAAACATAGAAAAAGGCACATAGCTCCAAACCATAAGATAAACTTGTTGCAGGCTTAAATATATGAATTTTCATAGTGGGACGGCACTCATTGTGTTCTGCTGTGCAATTCTTTGGATGCTTGGATTGGAAGTCACTCAAGGCTCGTTTGACTTTAATGATAGGAAATGGACAGAGACATAGCCTTCTTACATGATTTGCATTTGTGCTTATCAATGTTATCATGGTTATTGCTTTTGAATTGATCTACTTTTGTTTTCAAGTAACCTAACTGACGTTTTCAGCCAAAAATTAACGTTGTTCGTGTTACTTCTGTTTTCAACGTTGAAAGAGGTTGCTAGTTGGTTGTATTACTTCTCTTTTTCACCGTTGAAAGAAGTCGGCAAATGGTTGTGTTATCTCTCTTTTCAACGTTGAAAAAGGTGATCATCAGTTTAGATTCCTAATTAATAAAAAATTTAGCCTTTGTATGGAAGTTACTTCTTGGTCCATCAACCTTAATTAACACTAATTAGAGTTAGCCATGACCTAATATTGATTGGCCCATCCTTAAACATGGAATGTGAGCGCTTAGTCCGGAAAATTACTTCCTCTTATCATCTTGAATGTCTAATTAGTAATTTTAACACATCGTTACGTAAAAAAGCAAAAACATTTGATAACACATGAAAAGGCCGAATATCACCACCATGACACTCAAAATGTAGCTAAGTTTCTCTCCTCTCAACACTCAAAGTCAAAACCTGATAATGTTAAAAGGGCGACCTAAGCCAACAGGCTCTCAGCTTTGTGAGAATCGCACACCAGAGGGTGGGGGTGACGTATTTCGTACGCATCTTCACCCTTGCTTTGCAAGGAGACTATTTCATAACTCGAACCGTGATCTTTCAATCACAAAAGAGCAACCTTTCTCGTATAGACTAAAGTAGTTAAAATATTACTTTGACAAAAGAAAAAAAAATTGATAAATATGATTGTGGATACATATATATATTGATACGCAACAAAGAGTAACATGGACATACGTAGTTCTAGTAAAATTGGGAATTAGAGTGAAAAGCTCCGTCTTTATTAACACATATACCGCGGTTAACTTGATTTGCAACTCCATTTTCAAAGCCATTTGAAGAGGAGGCCTCCATGAGCTGCAAAGAAAGGAGCAAACACCAAGGACTCAACTGCCATGAGCTTGATCAGAATATTGAGCGAAGGACCTGAAGTGTCCTTGAGCGGATCTCCGATCGTATCACCTATGACGGCCGCCTTGTGGGGCTCCGAACCCTTGGGACCTAGTGACTTAGCATGTTCTGAAGCGCCGGCCTGCAGGTATAACATAGCGGGTTATTAGAACGTGCACGAGTGGTTTTGGGTTGGATGCTCGCATTCTAACAACAACTGAAGCTCAATCGAGCGCAAAAGCGTGCTTACCTCTATGTACTTCTTTGCATTATCCCATGCGCCTCCAGTGTTGGAAGCAGAAATGGCAATCTGTGGAGGAAAACAAAGGGAGACGCGTCTTAGCAAATGCCGGTAAATCCAACTGAAGGGTGTGAGAAATTCAAAATCTACAGCACGAGAAAGGTTTACTTTACCTGCACACCGGAAACAAGTGAACCAGCAAGAATCCCGGCAAGAGTTTCAACTCCAAAGAAGGTGCCGGCAATGAGTGGTGTAAGCATGACCAAAGCGCCTGGCGGGATCATCTCCTTGAGGGAAGCATCTGTGGAAATCTTGACGCACGTTGCGTAATCTGGCTTTGCTGTTCCTTCCATGAGCCCCGGAATTGTGTTGAATTGCCTGCGAACCTCTTCGACCATTTTAAGCGCTGCACTTCCCACACTCTTCATTGTCATGGCAGAAAACCAGTAGGGAAGCATAGCTCCCACAAGCAGGCCAATGAAGACTTTCGGCGTCAACACATCAACAGTCTCTATTCCGGCTCTGCTGACATAGGCACCGAACAAAGCAAGAGAAACAAGAGCAGCCGATCCAATAGCAAAACCCTGAGACATACAAGAAAACATGTCAAAATCGAAATAAGGAATACAAATCACCATGCTTTCAGAATGCCTCTCGAGAATGCGCCTAGTT